CATGTGAATGTGTCCCAAGACTCCATAGAGAAGAAACCTCACATTTGACCTCTTGGAGTGGAGGCCCAGCTCCCTACCTTGCCATGGCTCAGTTTCCTTATCTGCTGACCTCATGGATTTATGGTGGGGATAGCAGGAGGCGGTAAACATAGAACGCTCAGGTCTGGGCCAGAGTCTCTATCCTGACTGTGTGATACAATGTTACCTCCGAGACCTGTTGATACACACAGTGACCCAAGTGACTGCAGAGGTCCGTCTTGCTATGCCGGCAAGCCAGGCTCTGAATTTGCTAGGGATACAGAGATCTGAAGAGACCCAGTCAGAAGGATGGTCAGCTCCATGCTGGGCCTAGGCCAGTTCCCAGCTGGGAGGGCAGGCTGGGAACCACAGCCGATGGGGACAGTGATGGATGGAGTGGCCTGTTCCGGCACATTCCATGGTCTTTCCCACAGGCTCCGCCTGGCCTTAGTGAGTCGCTTCCTCTGCGGATGCTCAGCAGCATTCAGCTGGGAACTGGGTAATGTCTTAGAGGACACAGGAGCTCCCCTGGGCCCACAAGCAGCCATGGGGCCTGGGAATTTTCTGGAGGGTGGGAACAGGGAAGTGGCAGAGACTGGGATGGGCTGTGGGAGGAGCCAGGCCTCCCTGACCCTCCTTCTTCCCAGACTCATCTTAGACTCTGCCAACTTCGGGCACCATGGAATGGTATATGGGTGCTACTGTCTCCGAGTTCCCTATTCATTCAGGCCCCTCAGGGGATCCCCAAACCTCTGCCAGGCCCTATATGCAGTTTCTAGGATTCAGGATAGGGAGCCCATAAACTCTCTTTTCTTGGGAGGGCTGGAGGGAAAAATAACATCAACCCTTAAAAAAATAGCATGGGACAGGACAGTGGACATACTTTAGAGACCTTGGAGGCTGACTAGGGTCATCTGGCTGCAGCGGCCCCTGAAACCAGCAGGGCCAGGCTATCCAAATCCAGTTTTCTTGCTGGCCTCTTAAGCTGGGTATCCAGGACAAGTTACAAGACCACTGTGCCTTGGTTTTCCTACCTTTAAGGTGGAGCAGCAGGATTGTATGAATGAGGACTGCCAAGGCCTTCATAAAGCAGACATTCCTCGCCACACAGAAGACAGCTATTTGTTGGGCTGCATGATGCCATGGGCCCCTTACCTCATTTCCCTGGGATGAGGGAGCTGGGCACTCCCACACCCTCGCTCCACCTGCCACAGAGCAAGAACTACCAGTGTTGTCCTAAGCCAAACAGCGTGCGGGAGACAGTGCGGCAGAGAGCATTATCAAGGTGATGACAGAAGTTCCCCAGCGATCGCTCCAGATTGGGTGACCACACAACCCTGTGTCCTTTCTACTGGTGTGAAGGTTGACCCTAGGGACACGGGCATAGATCTGACTCCCTACACATCTCCATACCTCTTCCACATGGGCCGCACTGTGGCTGCAGGCAGCCACCTTGTCAATTGCCTGTACTAAAGAGCTCACAGCAATGGCTTGGCCTGGAGCTGCTGCACGGTTCCAATCCAGACTGCCCCACCCACGGACCATGAACTTTGGTGGGTCCCTGGGGCGGCTCTGAGGTCAGTAGCTGTCACCTGGAACCCGTCAACAGTGCCGCCACCAGGACACTCTCCCTCACAGCAAGGAAAGTCCAGCTAAGCAGGCAAAAGAACCTCTGTCCAGTTGTCTGGCAACACAATTCAGAACCTGGGGACACAGGCCTGGGCAGATGGGTGAAGGAAGGATGATATGGCTTGGGACTGACAGACAAGATACAAATCTGTACTGCACAGCTAAATGGCTTTGAAGAAATCACTTATTAGGCCAGGCGGTGGTGGCACACGCCTTTAATTCCAGGCAGAGGTAGGAGGGTCTCTGTGAGTTCAAGGCCAGCCTGGTCTACTAGAGCTAATTCCAGGACAGGCTCCAAAACTACAGAGAAACCCTGTCTCAAAAAAAAAAAAAAAAACAAAACAAAAAAAAAAAAAAGAAAAAGAAAAGAAATCACTTCTTTCCCCTTTTTGAGATGGAGCTGTACCTCTAGGAGTACTGGGAAGGCTGGAGACCCAGCAAGAGTGTGGCTGAGGCCATGGGGTTGACCCTGGTGGGACAAGAGGAAAAGAAACAGCTCCAAGCAGCCCAGATTTCACAGTGCTCTAGGATCTGCTCTGGAGGGTCTGACCCCCACACTGGCACTTGCAGGCTTGCCGGGAAGCAAGAACTGCCTCTTCGATGGCTTCCCTGGATGCCCACCAGTGGAGCCACATACCTGGCCAGTCCCTGCTCAGGCTGTTTATGGTGCGTGCCTGGAGGGTCCCCAGGGAAGCAGGGCAGAAAGATACAGCCTCGGAAGGACAAGTCTCCTGCTCTAGTTCCTGCCATAGGCTTTTCTGAGCCTGTGGGATCCAGGAGGAACCACCTCAGTATGGGGAGGAAAATTAATGAAAATGAACAGTAGGGTTTCGAGCTGCAGCTCCGTTGGTAGAGCACTTGTGTGGCTTGTACAATGCCCTGGGTTCAGTCCTCAGCACCCATAAACTGGGAACAGTGATACACACTTGTAACCCCAGATTTCGGAAGCGGAGACAGAAGTATCAGAAGTTCAACCCCATGAGCAAACCTTGCAGATGGGTCAACCAGGGAGTGAGGTATCTGCAGTGGGGTGACTGACAGTCCAGAGGAACTGCCAGAAGGGGATGAGCTGGAGAGGGAAACGAGGTTCCCAGGGCATGCTGGGAAGTAGACACCCTTAGGCTGCTGGAGGGAAGACCGGGAAAGAGCAGAGCAGCAAGCAATCCTGAGCAGGGGACCAGGTGACTCTCAGTCCCTTCACTAGATCCCAGGATCCATGTGTGACCTGGGGCAGATCATAGCACCTCTGTGTACCCGATCCTCTTTGAAATGGGCTTTGAGTGGAATCAGGACCATAGGATTTCTGTGAGGACAAATGAGATCCGTCACGGGCTGGGCACAGAGTGCATGCGTGAAAGCATTTCAGGCTCTGAGGCAGAGAGATGACCTCTGGTCTTTATGATTCTGGTCCTATTTAAAAGAAAGGAAATTAAGTGTCTATAGGTCACTAAGCACCAGCAGGGTGCCTTTGAGATCATGGTCATGCAAGTGGTGGCCACAACAACGTAGTACCGTGGCCTGTGGCACCAGGGTGTCTACCAGTGGTCCAGCACTGAGCGAGTGTGCTGTGAGGTGACAGTGCCCAGCCCAGCTGCCCGTGGTGTCGCCACTCAATTGACTCTACTTTGTTTGGTGCTTGAAACTCAGGTGAAACCACTTCTCCCCTGTGAAAGGCTTCAGAGACACACAGTGTCCCCAGTGTCCCGGGCCTGTGACCAGGGCCAGCCTGGCCCTTGAGACATTTGGCCCTGGCAATACCATCCAAGCAGCCCTGTCTGCCCAAGGGCCCAAGGGCAGACTGGACAGGTGAAGGGCTGGTGAGGACGGGCTGCTCCGTGCGGAAGCAGCCAGCCACAGTCGCCTTCTTTGGTGGTTGTCACCGGAGACTGGCCATCGGCCCTACAGCCAGGCATGGTGTTGATAGGTCCCCACAGCTGCGGCCACACATGTGCCCAGCCATCAGTTTCTGGACAGTTGGGGGAGGGGAGGGGCCGAGCGCCGGCAGGAGGTGGGGCCAGAGGCCACAGCTGGGGGACAGCAGGTGCCGCAGCCTGGGTGGCTACTGTGTGCCATCTGCTCCCATTCCGCCCCTCCTCATGGGCCCAGAAAGATGGGGGCTTCTTGCCTGCTCCGTGCAGACTCAGACACAAGCCATCACGGGCCGCTGGGCTTGTCTAAAGTAACTCTGGGTTTCTCTCCTCTCTGCAGACCAGGGAGGAGCATAGATGAGGTCTGCCAACTGGTAGGTATCGCTTACGGATCACCAGCCACAGAGGCTGGGCCACCTGAACTTATATGTGTCTGCCAACGATGAGACCCTGAAATGGGGTGCAAGGTTGAGGGGTGATACCCACAGTTGCCATGATAATGGCCAAGAGACAAGGAGTTCTGAACGTTTTGACACAGTCTCCGCCTGCCCTGCCCATGGGAATCTCTGTAGATATGATCAGAACATGGCCTGCAGGCAATCACTGGGGCAGAGATGTCAGCCTTCCTATAGCAGACAGGAGTCTCCCCTTGCTGGCTCTGGGGAGCTGGTCACATGACAAAGAAGCAACTTACACAGGTCCACCTACCCTACCTGACCATTCCTTAAGATGAAAGGGAAGATCCAGGACTCACCATCCCCTGCAAAGAATGCCCTAAGCAAGGCCTGCCCCTTGGACTTCGGCTGACCCCACCTTGGCTTCATGGACGTATTCTAGAGCCCTTGGCTATCCAGGATTCACCTGACCATTGTCACCATCTTACTTTCTTCCTACCCATCTGACCCTGAGCTGAGCACCTTGCTGAGAGTTAGGTCACTGGAACATGCTTGAGCCTGGGTGTCCTGAGCCTGTGGCTCACATTTCAGGGGCCAGGCTATAAGCATCCTGACATCCACGAGCCTCCCGTAGGAGTCCCAAGGACCACAGGGCAGGAGATAGTTAAGATGCTGGTTCCACATGCTGAAGCCAGTTCACCTGTCCCCCTGCACAGGTCCTAAAGGAGAATCTGAGCTCTGAAAATCTGGGGTCATCACTCGCCATGTATCTTACAAATGGGGATACTCGGGATAGGCCAGGAGCATGAAAACCCACACTGTGGGTTCTCGCACAGACTAGTCCTGACGAGCCCACCTTTGGGCTGATGCTGTGTTTCACCTGTGCATGGATGCTAGCCACCTGTGAGAGCACGTGTGGCTCCCACTGGATGGGTGGAGTCTGGAGTCCACCTGACCAGTGGATGTTCGGACCTCTGCCCAGGTGCTGGCTAGCCAGCTCTGCCCTCAGCTGCTTGATCTCTCTCTCTCTCTCTCTCTCTCTCTCTCTCTCTCTCTCTCTCTTTCTTTCTCTTTCTCTCTCTCTCCTTAGCTGACAGGAAGGAGAAGACTGCAGCAATGCCAGACTCTCCGGCTGAAGTGAAGACGCAGCCCCGGTCCACACCCCCCAGCATGCCACCCCCACCTCCCACCACATCCCAGGGAGCCACACGACCACCCTCCTTCACACCTCACACACGTGAGTCCCCCCTCATAGCACGGCAACAGACCAGGGCGGGGAGTGTAGAGTAGGTGGAGCCACTTGAAATTCTGTACTCTACAGTTAACATTAACGTGACCCTGTGACCCGTTTGCAGCCTAACCTGAGGCTCAGATCCCAGCTCCTCCTACTTACTGTGCTACTTTGAGTTAGCTACTTAACCTCTCTGGCCCAGCTTCCTCGTTTATAGAGTAGGGGGCCTCCTGTGGTTCTCGTCTTACAGTCATTAAGTTAACAGACATTGCCAGCCTACAAGCACTGATGTCTGAAGGCCCAGGTACTTAGGTTCATCTCAACAGCCCAGAGCAGAGGCCTGAGTACACAGCACTCTGGGGATGGGGTGGGGGAATTCCAGGGAGCAGGCATGGCAGCTCTCCTCCATAGCCGCCTCTTTGCTTAGAAAGATTGTGACTTAGACTCTCAAGTGTTGAGCAGTTGGGAAGATAGAAACTCGCAGGGTTGGGCCATTAACGGGAACAATGTCTCATGCCCCCTCTCCCAAGAGAAAGGCTTAGGAGTCTATCCTAAGTGTTCTGGCAGGAAAAAGAAGCCACGGGCCATCCCCACTACAACCTTCAAATACACATACTTGAGGGACTCTTCCCCAGACCTCAAACCGAAGCAATACCCCTCTCTGAGGGAGGGGTCTCAGTACCTCAGCCTGATGTCCCCTGGTTTCCAGGGCATGGGTGCTTCTCTGGTCTTTCCATTTCTGGACATGGAGCGCTGACTCTGCCCTTAGCCCTGCTGTCTAAAGAAAAGCCGAGATGGAGAGCAAGCAGCTCGACCCGAGGCCAGCCTTGTCCTGTTGACAGGGTGTCAGGGCTCCTGCTTTGAGGGTTACTGTCATCTGCCTCCAGGTACAGCAGCATGGAGCCAAGACTGTCTGAGAATATGCCCGGCACAGGGCAGATTGTCTCATGGCTGTGAATGCTCATAGACACCTTCCAGTCTCTTGGGAGGTTCTGGCTCCCACTTCCTACAGAGTTAACCGGGGTCCAGTAATTGCCGAGCCTGGCTGGAGAGGGGGCTCCCAGCTCTGCCTCTTGTAGCTGGGACTCTGCCCTTAGCAACCTGCTGCTCTCAGAGGACAGAGGTGCCTGCCAGGTCCTGGATCTGCATACTGGCCATGCTCCCCCAGGCCAGAGGTACCTGTGCCTTTTCTCACATTCTTCCGCCCACAGTGCCGAGGCTGAGATAGTCGCCTTCCCTTCCTTCCCCAGCCATCCTTCCCTCTGGGCTGAACTGCAGGTAGACTCTGGCTGCTGGGCAGCTAGCTTCAAAACTTGTCTAGTGGGTGAGAGGGGACTCTGTGGGACTGTGGCAGTATCACCAGCCAGTGCCCTAACCTAAGGACAGGAATTGTTTGTTGGGGAGACCGCTGTGCCCCCTCTCCCAGCAGTGAGGCCATGACACACTCCCTGAAACAATGGTCCTCCAGATGTCTGGAGGCTCCAAGCAGGAAGGAAGAACAGAGCAGCTCACAAGTTGATCTTGGACTCCGAGCTGTCACCGATCCCGAGGGTGCACCTCCCCCAACCTGCATTTCCCTGTGGACCGGGTTCTGATCCCAAAAGCTGGCCTGGACACCAGATGTTCCTGGTTAGGAGTGAGGATGGGATCAGCTGGGACCTTCAGGGCTTTACTTTCATGAGGCCTGTAAACAGATGTGAGGGCGGCCAGTGTGGTACATGGGGAGGAGTTGTGTCCCCCCTGCCCAACGGTCCCATCCTGGGGGTTGCAGCTCTGTCTATAGAGCACAAGGCTTTCATTTTTCTCTAAGCTGACACTTGCAGTCTGTGGACCTTCAGATCTGTGGGGCTCGTTGGTGTATAAGCCTGAGGCTCGGGTCTCCTGAGGTCACCTCAGGTTTGTTCCTAATCCGCATGGTTAACCACACCCCTGCACCTGGCTGGTGCTGGTAGCGGTCCTGGTAAAGCCTCTGCAGCCAGCTGCAGATTCCTGCCCAGTGCTTCAAGCCAAACGAAGAGCCTGACCTTGAACCTCTACTTGAGGGCTGTGGTTTTCCTGGCCCAGTGATCATCCTGGGCACAGCTTGGTCTCTGGGCAGGAGGCTGAGTGTGGAGACTGGGACAGTGCAAGAAGCATTGACCCAGACGACACTCCTCTCAGGCAGGGGCCCCTAGGTGGGTTGAGCTCCCATCTGTCCTTGCACGCTTCTGAGACAGGGGGCTCACTACTCCTAGTGCCCATCTCCACTGATAACCCCAATTCAGGTAACTCAGATGTGAATCTCTGTAATTGATAACACACAACTTGGGCCCCAAGTCCCTTAAGGACAGTGCTGAGGAGCTGACTGGGCCCTCTCCCAGGGGATAGCTTTTAAGAGGTAGGTGCTATGCATGCTGATAGATACTCAGTGCAACTGTTATTTTGCAGAGGAGGAGTGGACTGGCCCCAGTGGCAACAGCATGGTCTCTAGGAGTGCCACTGAGCAATAATAGAGGGGACGGGCCGCTGCGGCGCCCTCCTGACAGCGTGTTCTTCTTATTTTGCTTACAGATGGCGAGGATGGACCTGCGACGTCTCTGCCCCACGGCCGTTTCCACGGCTGCTTAAAGTGGTCCATGGTCTGTCTCTGTAAGTAAAATAACAAGAACCGTGGGCTTCAAGGAGGCTGCCTGGGTCCTTCTCGCTGCCTGTACACCCCCTTTGTCGAATCTCCAGCCAAGAGACAAGAGAGGCCCAGGGGACTAAGGGCTAGAGACTGAGACCCTCAGACAGTGTGCTGGGACTGTGGGATCTTCGCATGTGATTGCCTCCTGAGCCTCATCCCCGACAGCCAAACAGGCTGACAGGAGCAGATGCCAGGGCTCTGAGGAGACAGGGGGACATGTGTCAATGACAAGTCAAGCGCCACTGTTTCAAGAGACAGCTCCCACTATTGACAGATACGGGCAGATACGGTTGCCTGTGCCTTAGTTTCCCCACCTGTAAAGAGATGCTGTCACAGTATTGAGTGCTGAAGGTGATTCGTGCTTGCTATGTCTGACCCACACCGCATGCCCTGCAGACATCAGTCACCAGTAGATGATCCCACCAAAGCGCTGGGTGACGTCCTTACTACTTGCCCCCATCATCAGGTGTTACTGTGCCTCAGCAGTCTTAACGGGGCCAATTAGCTGCATCTCCAGGTGTGCGCAGCTGCCATGTCACTTCTGGGCTCTAAGAATAAGGAAGAGGTTGCATGTGTTACTATGTTTTATGTTGTCCTTCTTGCTACCGGCATTCCATGCCATGCTTGGCCACACACTAGGGCCTGGCACGCTGCCTGACTGGCCGTCAACTGTTGACTGGTTCTTGTTGTGGTGATAATGGTGCTCTCCTACTCAGGAAGAAAGCATGGAAGAACCGCTAACAGGGTTCGTGCACCCCAAGCCAACTCCCACCCAAGCCTCAAGACTAGAGGAGCTATGGGGGTGCTAGTTTGTGCCCCCAAACATCAGCCGAGGACACGTGTGCAGTCTAACTTAGTAACACACCTGTTGTGGTAATGAAAACACTTGTGCTGGGGGCTATTTTTGGCGTCTCTTTAGCTGCTGAGACTGCCCAGCAGCCGCGGGAGGGAAGACAGACAGGCAGTGAGGCGAACAGGCCACGGGGGACCCAGGCGCTCAGAGCAAGGCTGGTAAGCGGGCCTCAGGGAGGACAGGACCAGGTCAGGCTGGGTCTGGTGGGTGGCAGACTAGATAATGTGGACATTGGCGTGTCTTAGAAACTATTAAAAGACCCAGGGCCCTGGTGATAAAACACTTGGTTTTAAGACACAGGTCCACCTATTAGTGAGGTCTCCGTGGCAACAAGCCATCTCCTGGTCTGGCTGAGGTGACAGCAAGTGGCTGTCATTAGGTTTGACTGTGGCATCTGTGTCGGTGGCTGTCAGAGCTTACTGGTGAGAGAGAAGTCCACCCAGTGGGGTCCTCTGGACATGGTCTTAGAGAGGCTGGGAGCCCAGAGCTGTTGGTATGCTGTATGCAGACATCACGGACCACCCAGAGCAAGAAGGGTGCTTGCATGCACAGACTTACGCTGGCCTGCTTCTACTAACATTCTGGAACTGACTGTATATCCTAGGCCCTGGGGTAGACTCTTGAGATCACGTGGAGAGCCAAATGGAAAGACTTCCGCTTCCACGTGCATAGCCCCCACTAGGACAGAGGAGCCGCTTAGAACTGTATGCAGAGGATTCCATGCCTCATGGCCGCATAGAAACACCAAGGTGGCATGTGAGTCTGTGTCCCTCTCCCCACATGCTCTGCAGCTTCTGTTCCTCAGGAGCAGCTGTCAAGGGGTACCTCACCCAACGCCCAACATGTAGAGTCTGTCAGGTCAGTGGTGGCATTGGCAGGCTCCATCAGCCATGGTTTGGGAAACAAGGAAGATGGCTATGCTCTGATCCTAGAGCCCACCTCAGAACTTCAGAGTGACTTGGGACCATTGGCAGACAGACCTAGGTCTGGCCTACATTGATCGTCTGAACTGGCGTTGCTCTCCCAACCATCAAGGGTTTATGATATGGGGGTGTCTGAGGACCTGTGAGAGTCCTTGTATCAGGTGACTGTCAGGCTGGAGGTGAGGATAGAGGAGTGGGGAGGGGTGTCCCCTGAGGGGACTATGACAGCGTTCACACCCGCACCACACTGTAACAGCCCTGGGCTGAGTCCTGCCTTATACTCCTGGGGAAGGTAAGGGTCAACCCTAGGATCAGACAGTTGGGAGACACTAGTTGGGTCTATCCATGAACTGTTTATCCCAAGGCCTTAATGGCCCTGTCTGCTATGTGGGTCTAGAACAAGCTTGTGTGGAACCACCAGTCCTGGCCCAGGTTTATCTAGGCTGAAGCCTCAGGCAGTATCTGGGCAAGACAGAGTTAGTTACTGCAGTAGTTAGCAAGAGAGGGCCATGTGGGACCCATAGGGGAGACAGAAGTAGGATTAGGTCCTCCATCCTGTAGTGTGCGCAGAAGCATGACAGGATCCTGCAGGAGCCATAGGGCCAGGAAGGGAGGGACTTAGATAAAGGCCCCACCTCACCTTTCCATACCTAGCCCTTAGGCCACCCTCCCAGTGCTTGGATCAAGATGTCTAGACAGGTGCAGTATAGAGTGACTTGCTGAGGTACCCATTGCCTGAAGCAAGCAAGATACTCCAGGGGAACTCAGCTGGAGTCTCTGCACTGGGCAAGCTTGGAGGGCTCTTTGGTCTAGAAAAAGGACTCCCCTTCGCCCTTGGCACTTACAGCCCCACCAGGCCTCACCGTAACAGCTGAAGCTCTGGGGACTATGGTCTTGAGGGTACCCCAAACCTACACTCTCAGCACAGGCCTGAGAACCTGGCTTCTGCACACTCTGTCAAGGCAAGGGGCATGAGACATGAACAAAACCAACAGTTGAGTGAGCCAGAGGTATATGAACATGTGTCTATACCTAGAGGTAGCACTTACGACCTGTGAGCTCTGACCTGTCTGCAGACTCTGCTAATCATACCATTGTCATTCAGGACTGAGAGGCAAGGACTCTGACAGCCCCTGGCCTTGACCCTGGTACTCTGATTGATGGCAGCAGGGTCATCCAGTGAGCCGTGGCTCAGTGACTGGCAGCTGTGATCCTGTAGTATGCTTATCAGCTGTTTCCTTAGTCACCTGATTGTCCTTAGTATGAACTAGCCCCTGGACATGGTCTTCTGTGTCAAAATTCAGTGAAGAACCTAACCAGCTCTTCCTGGGGGTGGGAGAGTTCTCAGTCGCTCTGCCTGATCTTGAGTCCCCTCAACTCAGGCACTGGGCTACTTGCTAGCAATGGTGTTACTCAGGCTTAGAGAGGCTCGTGATCCTCAAGGTTGGGGAAGTTCCTGGACCAGTCCTCAGGGCTAAGGAGAGTTGGGGCATTGCTCCCAGGTGGGAAAGAGATTGGGTAGAGGGTGTCGCTTGAGGCCATAACAGCAGAGGCAGAGTGACTGGCCTTTTCTTGAGGTGATGGGGGTGACTTGTCATTTCCCGTACCGTGGGTGAGGAGGCCCTGTGCTTGCTCCTAGTTGGAAACCTGAGCCAGTCTGGTAGGATGGCCTGGGCCTCTGCTGCATGTGGGGGACCTAGACTATTGGCTGGTGTGAAGGCCTTGCCCTCAGGCCCAGGGTAAACCCCCCAGGGACAGTGTAAGCGAGCCCCGCAAGTGTCTGTCTCTGTAGCCACTTCCAGGGTGTGAGCCCTACCACCCTCCTGGCTGGGGTACCTGAGGTGAAGGGAATCACTTCTCTAGTACCAGTTCGCATATCTGCAAGAGTATAGCACCCACGAGCACAGTCAGGTCGCAAGGATAGGAGGGCAGCTGTGTATCTACTGGGCACAGCTGCTCTGGACTCTGCTGTCTGTCCTCATCGCTGTCATTTGGGCCGTTGTTGTCATTGTCACCGTGTATACGTATAAAGCGCGGTTATTACGCCTGGCCCTCACACGCCGTCCTCCTGCAGTGATGAACGGGAGCAGCCACTCACCTACAGCCGTCCACGGTGCCCCATCTACACCCAATGGCTTCAGCAACGGCCCAGCCACCTCATCGACCGCCTCGCTGTCCACACAACACCTGCCCCCGGCCTGCGGGGCACGGCAGCTCAGCAAACTCAAGCGTTTCCTCACCACCCTGCAGCAGTTCGGCAGTGACATCTCGCCTGAGATTGGCGAGCGCGTGCGCACCCTGGTGCTGGGGCTGGTGGTGAGTCTCCAGGCTCTCAGGCGCCTGGGTTCCCCATGACAGCCACTCTGCCACAGGCTCCATCATTATACCCACAACCCCCTGTTATGCTCTGTTCGTCCCTCAGGCCAGACCTAGAGCCTCCTCCTTCCCGGGGTGGGGGTGGGGCAGCCGGTTCAGATAGTACATGGGGACCTTTAAGTGGGGTGCTCTCTCCTGCAGAACTCAACTCTGACGATTGAAGAATTTCATTCCAAGCTCCAAGAAGCCACCAACTTCCCACTGCGGCCGTTCGTCATCCCCTTTCTGAAGGTAATCAAATCTGTCCTACAGGGGGCCTCCCTGAGAGACCCCAGTCCCCAGTCCCCTCCCTACCAGGCATCATTCTCAGCTGCCCAGGAAAATGGTGCTGGCCCCCAGATCTGGCTAGTTAGGGATGTAACTAGATGCTAGACCTCATGATTCCTCCCAAAACCAGCGTATTCTCATCCCTCACGGAGCTTTGAGTCGCCCACTCCATGCCAGGGTCTGCGCAAGACTCGAGACTCTCGGGGTAGTGTGAATGGACAGGCAGAGTACCCTGAAGCAATGCCTGTGTGGGAAGAGAGTGCTATCAGCCAGGTGCAGAATGTGGAAATGTGTGAAGTAAGAAAATATTCCCAAATCCCTCAAGGATAGGTATTTCACGGTGACTGAGAAGGCTGGAGAAGCCTTAGGCAGCACCCTGCAGGAAGCAAGACTAGTATATACGAGGGCCCTGGGGAAGGAGGAAAGGCAACTTTCCTTGTGGGTGGAATAGAGTGAAGGGATAGGAGTGCCGAGGAAGTTACAGGTGACAGACAGGCAGGCACGTGACTGGACGGCAGGGTGCTGGGAGTCGTCTGGGGCCGCCTGGGGCCTCATGAACGACCTGGTGACACTGTACCTTTGGCAGAGTCACCAGAGCCCCTGAGCCAGGCAGACTCCTCACCCCAGCCCAAACCCTCAGATGAGACGCTCTGTTTGTTTGGGGGTGGAGGTTAGGTTGGGTTTTGTTTGGTTGGGTTTTGTGTTTTGGGGGTTTTGTTGTTTTCAGTGCTGGGGGTTCAACATTGTCTTGTAGATCCAAGTGTCCTACTGCTGAGCCCCAGCTCTAACCCTGTCTGATTCTGAGATGGGGTCTCATTAAGTTTTCTGAGCTGGTCTTGAACTCTTTATCCTCCAGCCTCAGTATCCAGTAGTTGGAATTATAGGTGTTCACCACTAGGCTTAGTGAGATGCTGGATTTTAATATCTGGTAATCTGTGCGCTCACACACACACACACACACACTGGGAATGAGCCAAGTCCTCACGTAGGGCCTGTGGCTCACTGCAGTCCTTCACCCTGAGAGGAGTGAGGATGTCATGCTTCCAAATGTGTTTGGCCATGCGTTCTCTTCCCACTTAGACCTCGGGGGAGATGCTAGAATAACCATACCTTAGAGCACCCACCTCCACTTACAGCTAGAGCCCCAGGTTATACTTCCTGCTTGTCTGTGCTTGTCTTAGTCAAAGTTCAAGGTCGGACCATACAAAGGGTAAGCTCCAAGACATGAGCCCCACCAAACTGCCTAGCAGATACTAGGCTGGCCCCACGCCTCTGTACTCGGCCCCTGTCGCTAGAGTGCTCCAATCTCTCAAGGCAGCTACATCAGTAAGGTTTTTAACTGCCTAATTTAGACCAAGAATGGATCATAAAGATCTCTGCACAGATGCTCTCTTGACCGCTGGAGGGGGACACACAGGCCCTGACGCTGTCAAGTTAGCAGGCAGGAAAGCTGAACCTCACTTTTCTAGCTGGTACAGACCCAAGGCTGGTCCAGAGTCCCCACAACATTCACAGGACATGTCCCACGGGCCTCATTCCTCTGGCACCTCACAGGGGGACCCCATATGACACCCCATATCCATTCCCCTCCTCCCTCCCACCCACACCTTGCTGGGCTCACACTGGAGCTAGTGACAACAGAGAAGCCACGGGTGCCAGCGCGTGGGCCCTCCTGGCAGTCATTTGCAGTGCGTTGGAGGCCCTCATTCTCCTCACCCTCCACATATTGCTGACTCTGCCACCGCCTTAGGATGCCATGTGCCTGCTTATTTTGTCAGAGCCAGTTTTCGCAGCAGATGCCTGGTAGTGATGGCCACCCTGTTTATGCCTGGAATATCCCAGCTTTCACTGCCCAGAGTCCCTACCCTCAGTACCCTTCTTACCTAACCTAGCGTGGCATCACCCAAAGCAAGCCCTGGGTGGAATACCTTGCCCAGCACTGCTTTGTCAAGGGACCCTCTCCACATTCATTTCTTTCTGCCCACCTCAGAGCTAACCGAGGACCTCTGTGTCTCATTGTTAGCGACACCGGGTGGTACATCTTTCTCCATGATATGAAGATCCTGGGATGAAGGGGCAGTAAGAGCCAAAGGTAGAACCTAAAAATACGAGGTTGCAGCCAGTCCTTCTAACCTTGTTGCCAAAACAGGAGCCAGAGCAGCGGCCCACTCTGCCCAGTCAAAGAGCATGACGATTTTGCTGGTACAGCATGGTAGGAGCCCAGGCCCAGTGGCTAGAAACAAGAAAGCCAGACAGCTCAGGCAGCTCTAGGGGCCTCACTGCCCTCACTGGATAGGGTCCCCTCTTGGTTGGTCAGAGAGCCGGAGTAGCGCCTTCCTAAATAGTCATGGGCCTCCTGGCATCCGCAGTGATTCTCATGGCCACCTCTGGGGATGCCATTCTGAGAAGAAACTGTTCTGAAGATGTGGCTGGGCAGAGCTGGGCTCCAACTGCAGGGCCCTCTTGGGTCCTTTCCTAGGCCAGACAGAACTGCCTGTCACACAGGTGGTAGAAGAACTGAGTTAATCCACGTGGGCCCATCACAGCAGCGCTTCCAGAGTTCAGGTTTACGGAGGAGACAGGAGGCAGTTGTGTGGCTTCCAAAGGTCACACAGCTCTTGAGTAGCCCAGCCAGGGTGAGTGGTCCACCAATCTTCCATGGGGCAGCCTGTGGTGGAAGGCTCTGCAGAGCCAAGCGAAGCGTGAAGAAGACTCGTGGTTCAGCTCTCACCACGGTGGTTCTATGCGTTGCCTCTGCCAGAGACCTATTGAGGAGAAAGATGGTTTAGATTTTTCCGGACATCAAAATTTCCATGCCAAGTTAAGTTGGGGCCCAGGGCGCCCTGTGACCAGCTTGGTGTGTCCTCTGAATGATGCTCGGGACTTTGGAAGCAGCACGGGGACTTGTTCTTTCTGGTGAGCAGTGGTCCTGTGCACCCAGCCAAGGGCTGCTGTGTATCTGGACTGTACGGCTAGACTACCTGATACCTAGGTCCCCTCCACTCTCTCCTGCATCTGCCCTCATGTAGCTGGACAGTGGACTTTTCAGAAGCTGCCCCACCCGAGGCTCCAGCTCCCAGATGGCCCCAGCTGGCCAGGACCCCAGATGTTTCCCCACCCTAACTGCAACCAGATGGTGCTCATGCCCAGCCCCCACCCCACCATGCTGGCCAAAGAAAGGACAGGGTGGGTGGGGGACTAGTGAGGGAGGAGACTCTGGGCTACTGAGACCTCCCAGGACCTCATCCCAGCTCATGCTTCTGACGTGGTCGGCAGATGGTGAGCTGGCCTCCGTTCAGCTATCCAAACAGAAAAACAGGCTTGGCAGCCACACCGCTCAACAAAAATGCATCGGCTGCCTGATGGGCTGGGTGGATGCGCCAACAGGGGCTGAAGAGGCAGAGGCTTGGAGAAGACTGCCCTGGCAGCTTCGAGACGCATGGGAAAGTTGTGGATTGTGTTTATTTACAAATACTTAGAACTGCTGGCTCTCCCAAGAGCCTGCCACTGGGCCCCTGTCCAGCATGCTTTCGGGGCCAGCCTGCCACCCTACCCACAGCAGTTCTGGAAAGGCTGACCACTAGCAGTGCCTGGAGACCCTGGTCCAGCACTAGGGTGAAGTTCATAGGTTTAGAGATGGAGTCTGGGAGCTCTGGTGGCCTCATCTGCAAATGCAGAATCGAGTTGTGATATCATCCCTGAGGCTGGGGTTCATGAAGGTCATATTCCCTGTGTGCTCAGAGCTGCCTGACCACAGAAAGCATACTCTAGTGTCTGAGGTCCTCCTGTGAGCTTTGTTCCTGGCTGAGACTGGAAAGTGGGAGATAGTTCTATAGAGCTCCTGGCCTGTGCATTTTGGAGGTCAGAGCAGAGACCCTGCTGTACCTCTGTTTCCCCACCACCACTCTCTCTGCTTGGTTGCTTGAACCTTGCTTTTCTTCTCTGCACCAAGGACAATATGGTGCCTGCTTGACAAGGTACAGGTAGGGAATATTGCGTGTAGACTCCAAGAAGAAGCATGGTGATATAGAAAGTCCATACATTGCTGTGTGTCCAGCAGGGCACGGGCCTGTCACTTCCCACAGTGCTATGGGAAGGAGCAAGGAACCTGAGGGACGCAGAGCCCTGAGTCACACAGAGGTAGCCCTGGGCTGTCTTCTGGTCTGGACAGGTTAGGTGGGCTTGCACACCAGCTGACAGTCAACTGTGTCTAAAGCCCCTGTCCTGCCCACAGGCTAATCTTCCACTGCTGCAGAGAGAGCTCCTGCACTGTGCCCGCCTGGCCAAACAGACGCCTGCCCAGTACCTGGCCCAGCACGAACAACTGCTGCTGGATGCCAGTGCCACCTCCCCTGTTGACTCCCCCGAGCTCCTGCTGGAAGTCAACGAGAATGGCAAGAGGAGAACACCAGACAGGTAACAGCCTTTCCCAGATCCACAGGACAGGGAGGTGACCCACGGCGGCCTCTTCCTGCCCATCTGCCTCTGCCACGATTCTGCCAGACAGCTGGTCCAGTCTGTTCTCTGCAGCAGGACGGATCAAGCGCTGCTAATACTGCTGCATGCTTCGGGGACAGGCTGGTGGGCTGGTGACACTGGGTTCTGCAGCATGCGCTGCCCTATTGAGCGCCGGACCCAGGGTCTCTGGGATCCCTGGAGGACAGCAACTCAGAAAGGGGTCTCATTTTTCTTTGTGCTATTTGTAGAACCTGAGTGGCCTGGAGTCTACGGCCCATGGTGGCTGGGCTGGACAGGACCCCTTGACTGGCCCCTAGACCCCTACTGCTGTACCACAAGTGGGGACCACACCTAGCCATGGGACTCTGGGTGTCTCCTCTCCATTCTCTATCAGGAGACCCAGAGGAGGTCAGAGAGGGGGACCAGAACCCTACTGAACCCAGTAGGGTTCCTCTCCACCCTCTCTGTCTCTTCTCGCCTCTGTTGCTACCCTCTGTCCTCTGTCCACTGGGGCTGATACCGATTGGCCACATGTTTTCTTGATCAGGACCAAAGAGAATGGGTCAGACCGGGACCCTCTGCACCCCGACCACCTCAGTAAGCGGTCCTGCACCCTGAGCCCTGCCCAGCGCTGCAGTCCCAGCAATGGGTTGCCCCACCCTACACCACCCCCACCCCCACACTATCGCCTGGAGGACATGGCCATGGCCCACCACTTCCGGGACTCCTACCGACATCCAGATCCCCGAGAGCTACGGGAGCGCCATCGGCCCCTCGGTAAGCAGTGTGAGAGTGCCATCGACCCTTCAAGGTATGGGCACAGAGAGTGTGTGAACCCATGTCTGTGAGCCGGCCCACGTGTATAAGCCTGCATGTACTTGGGCTGGAGAGAGTTTACATGCGTTTATTTAGGGGTTCAGTCAGCAGCTGCTTGTACCTATGCCCTAGTGGAAGACACTGAAGCTGTAAGCAGCACCTCATCTTCCCAGGAGCCAGTAGCCACCTCGGTGCCCAGGTAGCCTGACTTGCCCCTTCAGACCCAAGTTGCCCTTTCTTGTACACAGAATAGCACTATCTTTTAAAGGACCAGCCTTTACCGCCCTCCTGGGCTGGGCAGCCTAAGGCCAGAGTAGCTGAGGGCAAGGCAAGGGCTACCTGACTTTCCTTGAATCCAGAAGTGGGTCATGTGACAGCTCTGTGCCTCAGTTTCTCAGAACAGTTGTGTGAGGATGGGGGCATTGATAGAGCACCTGGCACACAGTGCACTCCAAAGCCCAGTTACTGGTGACAGGGACAGCAGCTGACACAGAGCACATGCACTTGGTCATTTCTCAACCTGGATCCATCCCTCTAAGGAAACTGAGGCTCAGAGAATATAGGTGGGACAGCCACGGATGGTCCCAGCAACACCTGCCCAACCCCAACCCTGCTCCACCCCGGTGTGTTGGAAAGGAATGATAGAAATGACTAGCCAGGGTCACTCAGGACACCTATAGGGTCCCAGAGCAGGGTCACCCCCCCACATTCACACTGTGGAAGCTTCCAGGGCCTGGGCCTAGGCAGCAGGTGACAGTGTCTGGCTTGCCACAGCCGGGTCAGGCAGGTGCTAATTCCCACCCGCTTCTGCTAATGCAAAAATAAACGCCAGCTGTCGCACAGATCTCAGCCTCTATTTTAGTTGGGGCGTTGGCATAGGCCCCTCGTGGGCAGCCGGAGAGAGTGCTGGATGACGGCTGTGGCCACTCCCTGCCCTTCTGCAACTCGAGGAAGGCATTTCAGGTTAGGTACTAAGAGGTCCTTGGGCACTGGTGGCAGCTTTAAAGAGAGGCTTTGCCCCCCGCCCCCAGAAAGGCTAGATTGGCACCAGGTCACCTGCACAGCCTCAGTTACCACGCTGGAAGCATTTGACAGTGAAGAAAACTAATAGAGGGCCATCAAGTCCCTCATGTACCAACCAGTGGCAACCCACAGCCTGCCCATTTGACCATCCCTGAGGGCACAGATTCAGGCTGGCCTCACGCCATATACTGCCTCTCCCACTTTCTGCCTGGTAACTGTGGACAGACATGACCAGCCTCAGTTTCCTGGTCTGTTACATGGGAAAGATGAACCTTCCTTCCAAGGTCAGGGCAGAAAGAAGGGAATGGTGCTTAGCACCAAGCCCTGCCTGGGGACACCCCCTCAAGCTTACCAGGTCAGCTTGGGATCTTTTTTCTAACTACTCACTGTGTTAAGAACACACAGAAGCCAGGCAGTGGTGGTGCACACCTTTACTCCCAGTACTTGGGAAACAGAGACAGGTGGATCTCTGTGAGTTCGAAACCAGCCCTGGTCTATAAGAGGTAGTTCCAGAATAGCTAGGACTGAAAAAAAACAAAAAACAAAAAACAAAAAACAAACCAACAAAAAAGAACTAGACAGGGTCAGGAAATTGAGACAGGGAGTGGAATGATCAGGACCCCAGGATCCCCTGGGGAATGAGCCATCTGGGCTTGCTATTTTGTCTGACCCTGCTGTCAGTAGATCTGATCCCAAGACCACACTCAGGGCTAGTAAATACCCAAGCCAGAGTTCAGCCTGGGGACACAGAGGTAAACACATCACGCCATCTTTCTCCATGGATCTGACAGTGGTGAGGAAGAATAAACAGGGAAGTCTTGTACCCAGAGACCAGAGACACACATGGCCTGAGGAATTCCAAAGACTCTGCAGCTGTAGAGGGGCCTTGTGGCCTGGACTTTGAGGAATGCATAGGAGTACCAATATTTGAGAGGAAGTCATAAACACACATAAGTTGAGCAGCTGCACAGGGGCCCTGAGGTTTCTGGACCATGATAAGGCAGACCCTTAAAGTGGATCTCGATCTGCCTATCAGAAATGAGCATAGTAAAGGCAAGAGGAGCTAGGTTTGTAGGCTAGTAGGAAGGGAATGAATGGTCAGGGCAGAACCAGAGATGACAAGTGTTTCCTGTTCTTGACCCCCTGAGGTAGGAATGGAACTGAGGAAGTCAGAGGCACCTGGGAGTAGAGGCAGGACCTGAGATCCAAGTCAGGGCTTAGTTATGGGCAAGGGTGTGGCTTAGCATCTGCTTGGGGGCCTAAATGTGCATTGCCCTTCCTGCAGCCATGCCTGGGTCTCGACAAGAAGAAGTGATTGACCACAGGCTCACAGAACGGGAGTGGGCAGAAGAGTGGAAACACCTCAACAGTGTGAGTGTCTGTGATTCCCAGAGTGTTTGCACACCTCTGGATCCTAAGGCTTGGGGTGGGGAACAGTACTGGGTTTGGGCTCCTCTGGGTTCAGCATCACCTGGCAGGAGCTATCTGAGAACCGAGAACCTGCTGCCTGCCTGTCCCTTTATGTGAGCATCACTGTCTGTTTGACCTGTCAGGGTACTGTGAGAGAATTGAGACAAGGATGCTGAACCATACACACAGACCCTCCCGCCTCCACTATTTCTGCTCAGAGACTCTTGCAGGATAGAGCCCCAGTGGTGTAGGGCGTCTTCGTGTTAGGTGCCTGAGCCCCTGGTCAGGCCAAGTGGACCATGTCTTGATGTTCCTAGAAGTTCCGTTCCTCTGATCACCATGTACCTTGAAGTATGGATCCCTTACCTACTTCTTTCTTGGGGATGTTCCCAAAGCAGATTGCTCTCAGTTTCACAGGAGGGACCCCAAGCCTCTATCCTGCCTCCAAAGAAGTTCCTATTCAAGTTGGGTGCCCATACACACTGGGAGCCACTTCACTGTTTGTGGGGAGCCAAGGTAGATTTCTGTGCCCTGCCTTCAGGGATGATGAGCTGGCTCCCCGACCACCCCCTCCATGTTGGATGGCCACATCTGGCCACAGTCCTGGTTCCAATGTACTGAAGGCCCTGCCACCCACCTGCAGCTCCTGAACTGTATCATGGATATGGTGGAGAAGACACGGCGATCACTCACTGTGCTGCGTCGGTGCCAGGAGGCTGACCGTGAAGAACTCAATCACTGGATCCGGTGCTACAGTGACTCCGAGGAAGGGAAGAAGGGCCCCACCCCCACCTCTGCCCGGCCCCTCAATAGCTGCAGTGGCCCTGAGGGGTCTCAGCTAGGTGTGTACTAGGGAAGAACATGGAAGACTTGCAGTGAGGGGTTGCTAGCCCTACACAGTCTCAGTAGGATGTCACTGATTCCCCAGAAAGTTAGCCAACGGTCAGGCCTTACTTAAACAGAGCATCACTTGGAAAAGGGGGCCGTTTTCATGTGCCTGGTCTGCTAGGAAGCCTGAAACTCCCAAGCTTCTAGTAGGTACAAACCAAGCTTAGAAGGTGGCACCTAGGGGCTTCTATGTGGTCATCTACCACAGTGTGACCAGAGACTAGGGGAGGTCTAGGATATGCCCAGTTCCCAGCCTGAGTCCATGTTCACTGGCTATAGAGCATGCTATCCCAATCCCTCCATCCCCCTGGAATGTGAAGCCCTCTTTCCCAGGGGAAAAAAAAATATTCCTTACCTTCAAGCCCTGGCAAGAATGGAAGGGAACCCAGAGTGGAAGAAGGCAACTGACGACCCCACCTTGTGTATGACACCGTACCCCATCCCTTTGTTTCAGATGTTCACCGGGATTTCATGCCCAGGACCCTCTCTGGTTATATGCCGGAGGAGATCTGGAGGAAGGCTGGTGAGTAAGGCTATTGGGACAAACCCTGGGACGACCATAAGAAGTGTCTGCGACTCAGATGGGCCCCACATGCAGCAAGTTTATGTATTTACACATTGGGCCACACACAGAGGTGTGCACAGAATGCACGTGCACACACACGCACACACACACACACACACACACACACACACACACACACACACAGAATATGAATCAGATACTTACAGCCAGAGTTCACATAGTCCCCTTCTGGCTCCCAAGCAAAGCCAAGGACCAAACCTGTTGTCCTCAAAGCAGGTCCTTCACAGCAGTGGCTTGCCTGATGCCTGTCAGAACAGAATCTTGGGCACTACTGGAATCTGTTGGATCATACTGTGGGGTGGGGACTAGCCCTCACCCTCTGAAGATGCACACCAGAGTGAGGACCATGACACTGGCAGGTAGAGCAGTGGATAGTTTACCCATGGCTCTATTCCTCTTCACCAGGGTTTACACATGTGCCCAGGACTCACACATTTTTATCCACACGCTGCGGGATATTTTGACCACACTCTGACACTCCTGAGACTACCAATAAAGTTTACCTTGAATCAGAGGGCAGAGCTAACTACTAGCCGACCAAAATTAGTCATAGAGGTTTTGGAGGACCCAGGATATATAAAGAGACAGAGGAAGTAGTAGAGAGGGGCTTAGGGAGATTCTGGACCTTTTGGATCAAAGAAGGAGAGAAAGAGGAGGTGACTGGTCACTTCTTCGCCTATCCTCTGATCAATCAGGTTATGACTCTGCTATCTGACTCCCGAATTTTTATTGATAAAGAATAATTAAATAAACGCTTCATCCACAAACCTTTCAGCAAAGGTATGGGATCACTGATTTGTGCCTTTGTGTGAACACATGCAAAATATGATAAGCATGTGCAATACAGCTACATCACATACAGCTACATTTAGGCTCCTACTCAAGTGGTGCGTATCCAGAACCCCAGGTGAGCTAGCCTGGGTGATTACTGGCAGTGTGACCACCATCCCACCTCTGTGCTTCACAGAAGAAGCCGTGAATGAGGTGAAGCGCCAGGCGATGTCAGAATTACAGAAGGCTGTGTCTGATGCAGAGCGCAAAGCCCATGAACTCATCACCACAGAGCGTGCCAAGATGGAACGAGCCCTGGCTGAGGCCAAGCGGCAGGCCTCAGAGGATGCCCTGACTGTCATCAACCAGCAAGAGGACTCCAGCGAGGTAGGGCCATTTCTGCCTCCAGGAGTCCCGTATTCCAAGGGCTGACCAAACCTGGGTTAGAACACCACACCTGTGCAGCCTCTAGACCAATGAGCTCTCTGCGGTCAGTGGTCAGAACTATCAGTGGTAGCATAAGCAAGCATGAAGTCTGTTCAACACTGCTTGTCAGTAAATAAAGAGGCCCACAAGGCCTGGTAAGGTGTTTCTCAGGCCTTCCTGACCTGCAAGTAGCAGTAATTGAAGATTCAGAGAGTAATGCTTGTCCGGGGCCTGGCACACGTTAGGGTCCATATTCCATCAAAGGCTATTGATATCAAAACCTCATTTCTTTAACTTATAAAAGCAAAAGGCTTATGGAGACTTTTCAGGACCCTGGGGTCTCCCTCAGCTTTGGGCATAATGAACAGGAAGGAGAAAGCCATGAGAGCTATGATCTTGTGTGCCCAGATGTCTGGGCACTGTGCTCCATTCAGCAGGGTGGGTGAAGGAGGACTTCCTGAACCTGTTTCCTCTGCTCCAAGAGTTTGGTTGGCAGGGCACCAGGAAGAAAGGAACAACCCTTATGGGAAAGTCATTCATGGGCTTCCCTTTAGGAATGGCCTAGAGAGACAAAGCCAGGTAGATCCTGGGACTCATGGGTCCACATGTTAGCCTTGACTTAGGTAAGCTTTAAACTTAGTGGTTAGATGCTGTGCCCTTTCATACAGTTTCTCATGCTGTGACTCCCAACCATAAAATTATTTTTGCTGCTACTTCATAATTGCAATTTTGCTACTGTTAGAATTGTAATGTAACTATCTGTGGCTTCCAATGGTCTAGTTAGCTCCTATGAAAAGGTCATTGAACTACCAAAGGGGTCAAGACCCACAGGTTGAGAACCACTGTTCTTAGCCATTGAGTGACCCTGTCTTAAAATGATGTGGACGGTATTCAGGAATAATACCAGATTGTCCTGAGGCCTCCACATGCATACGCATACATACATACCCATACACTCATGTGCTTATGTACACATGCACAGGATCCCAAAGCTGTCAGGAGATGGGCAAAGCATTGACCCGAGTGTTAGGTATTTGGAGGTGAGGATAGTTTGGAAAGTATATCACTAGACGTCAGAGCAGCATGGCCCCTGGGGAAAGAGAGAAAAGAGCCATCCAATATCAGAGCCATCCTGACGGAGAGGCCAGCAAGGCCCTCCTGGGTGGAGCAGCATAAGGGGTGCAGCAGGCAGAGGCCAGAGCGTAGAGACGAGAAGTAGGCTTTGATTCCTGAAGCCGGGGCAGCCTCCCAGTCCCACAGCCCAGCCGCCTTGCCAGGATCTCTAGCCATCCCCTGAGGGAAATACAGTCAGCAAAGGGAATCCTGGTCAGTGGCCACCTCTCCTCTCCTGAAAGGGCCCAGTGAGTGCTTGACAACTCAGCTGCCTCCAGGGGCTCTAGAGTTCTTTCTTCTTCCTGAGTGAAACCCTAACTGGGTTTTAGCAGCTGGGAGTGGATACATGACTCTCCCCTGCACCACACGCACGTATGCACACACGCATACCTTTTCAGCAGGTTATCATGTGCAGCCTGTCCCATCCTGACTCATCTCCTTTGCCCTCCTCTACATCCAGAGCTGCTGGAACTGTGGGCGCAAGGCCAGCGAGACCTGCAGCGGCTGTAATGCAGCCCGCTACTGTGGGTCCTTCTGTCAGCACAAGGACTGGGAGAAGCACCATCATGTATGCGGCCAGAGTCTGCAGGGCCCCGCAGCAGCAGTGGCTGACCCACTGCCCGGACAGCCTGATGCCACTGCCAGCCCCAGCGAAGCCGGCTCAGCAGGGCCCTCTCGCCCCTGCTCTCCGGGCCCACCAGGCCCACTGGACGCTGCCGTGCCCCGCTGACCTCCAGATCGGACGCCCAGCCCATGGACGCCATGCCCTGCCAACCTCCTGGCCCCACCTTGGCCCACCAGATGCCTGGAGCTGGCCAGGTGGAGTCACTGCTGCTACTGCTTCTCTCCAAAAGAAAACACAGATACAACGAAACTGCATCCGTGCAGCCTCAGCTACCTGATGAGGTCCTGCTGGGACCTCCTACAGCCTCTCTTCACAAGCATCCTCAGATACCACTGCGGAGCTGCAGACAGTGGCACCGGCGGAGCGTGGCCGGCTCTGCCACCGTCTGTCCCCTCTGTGTCTGTCTCTCTGTTATTGTCTGTCTTTCTGTGTCTTGGTCTCCCTCTGTTTCCCTGCCCTGACTCTCCCTGTATCTGATCCTCTCTGTCTGTGTAAAAGCCCGCACGCTTTCTCTGTAATCAGAGAAACCTAATCGGTGGCTTTATTTTCAGTGAAGAACTTTTGGAGATTTTGTTTTGTTTTGTTGGCAAACAAGCTACTTAAAAATGGACAAAGAACTGTGGGGTTCTCCCCATTCCTTATTAGAAAAGGAAGAAACTGTGATTTTTTTCTAGCTGGAGTTGCTGCCTCACCCAGCCAACCCCAGGGGGATCGGCGTGTGCAGCAGAGACGGTGAGAACAATTTCAATTTCCAACTCAAGAAGCATTTTTTGGTTTCAGGTTTTATTTCTTTTCTTTAATGTCAAACTCTTTGGCTTTAACTGAAAAAAAAAAACCCAAAAAGTTTTTTTTAAGCAAAGGAAACATACCTGTAAACTACCTTGCCAGCTAGCCAGCCAAGGATGCCAGACACACCTCGCTCCAAAGGAAATCCAAAAAGCAAACTCAAGAAATCAAAATCAAAAATTTATTTTTATCACTGCCAAAGTATTTTTTCATTGTCTTTCATTCCTGGGTTTGTTTGGATGTCGGTCTTTTATTTTGGCTTTGATTTTGTCAGGGGTGTTGGGTCACTGGGATTTGGTGGGTTGGGCCAAGAAGAAACGTTTTGTTCCTTTTTGACTAGTGGGCAGCATCCTTGCAGGGCAAAGGGGTCAGCAGCAAGGCCACATGACCCTCAGCACCATATCTAGAAGCCCCAGTCAGCATGAGCCTGAGCGTTGTGTGCCCTCAGGCCCTGTCCGTGCGTCCCTGTACGCAAGGGAGACACCTCCATCTGTCCTCACACCTTCTGTGACTTCGCATAGTTCATTTTCCACTTGTGAAAAAAAAAAGTGCTAGTGTTCTTCCCAGAGAGAGCACAATTCCTAAACGAAACTGTGACAATCTTTTGGTTTAATTCTTGACTGCTTTTGAAAGCATAAGGTGACAGCGAATCAACGCTTTCTTGGTTTTCCCTCCTCTACCTCTCTGCCCTCCCATCCCACCCCACCCCCACCTCCACCTCAGTCTTATTTCCCCATCCCCAGTGTCTTGCTGTGGCTACCATCGTTTCTTTCAAACTTTTACAGAAAAAATAAAAGGAAAAAAAAATAAAACACAAAAGCCAGCAGCCACCCTCACCTCGCCTGGAAGACTCAAGCCCAGCTGTACATATTCCTGTGTTCCAACCCCCGTGTTTGTCTCCAGCCCTGGGAGTGATGGTGACATCTGCCCACCTGTGCTCCAGCCCTCGCCCGCCCTGCCCTCCACCCGCTCGACTTCCCTCAAGGATTTAAGGAGGAAATGAAGGAAGGAAGCTCATGCCTGTACCAAACAGAAAGACAGCAGACACAGTCCGGGTCTGCACCTATGTGTGTGGCTGCAGTAAGCTGCAGGCCTAGCGTGCAATATGGGGGAATTGCTCCTGAACCCTGGGCCCGGGGGGCCCTGCCCAGAGCAAGGTGTGCAGCATGTGTTAATGTGAATGTAAATAGTCTCCACAGTGGTCCTAACCGCGGCATCAGTACCGAGGAGATGTTTGCCAAATAAAAAGAAATTAAGACAAACCACGCAAGTATGTGAAATTTAGGAAACACTTTGGAAGGAATCTGAGCTGTGGTCCAATGGGCTTGTTTGGTGGCTGGTCTTTCTTCTCAACTGTAAAAGTCACTCTTTAAGAGAACATTGCATGGAAGGATCCTGTTAGGCACCATCAACCTGGTGCTACCCCGAATGGAGCCTGACAGCAACTCTCGCTCCGAAGGCCAAGGTAGAGCTCATCCTCTGGAAGGTTCCTAAGGACACAGCCCTCCAAGCCCACAAAGATGTATTTTTGTGGGTTTCAGAGAAGCCAGGACACATGGCAGCCTCCTGCCCTTCCTTCTAGTGGACCAGTTGACCTGAGCATCTGCCTGTGAACACTGAGTCTGTGCTGGCAGAAACCCGCCTGCCATCAAAGCAAGCATCGCTGGATTTCATTCCCAGCTGCGCCTCATGCAGTGCTGCTTGTCTCTGTTACCCCACAGCATGCAGCGTCCTTGGCCCTTGCAGGAGAGCAGGCCGGTGGCCATTCATAGGGAAAAGCTCTGGGTGGCAGGAGGTGCTGAGCGCCATGTTTGTGGGGGAAAATAAAACTAGGCCCTCAGCTTGTGCTTAAGAGCTGGAGTCTCTAGAGGTCTGGGTCTGGAGTCCTGGGGTGGCTTCCCTGATGACCCATGTCCCTGGTGTCAGGACTTGAGAGTGCCTGCTCCCATATATGTGGTCCAGCCATTCTAAGGTAGGTCCCAGAGGGCCCCTAACCTGCAGGCCCAACAATTTGCTTTTGCTTCACGTACCTCCTCCCCTACCTATACCACCCTTATCTACCTTTTCGGAACAACAAGGCCCACCAGGGGCAACAAAATGCTGCCCAGCCAAATTGGCCTCCAGGAACCAGGTTACATATTTAGGGTTCAGCAGAGCCCCCCACCTGCACCCTAGCTGTTTGAAGGGATAGCCCCCCCAAGACAGCTATCAGATGCCATTCGACCACAGTGAGTCCCTTGTGCATGACATCTGGCCCGCAACTGTGGACACTCGTGGTGAGGTGCTGGCCAGCTGATAGGAAGAGCTCAGCCGGCAAGGCAACTGCAGAATCAGGGTGGCAGTTAAGGTGGGTGTGGGAAGGGTTAAGTTGGGGAAACGGGGACTGGAAACAGCCATAGGGAATCCCAGGCATACTGCTAAATTCTGGGTGGACGTCAGCAGTGTCACTTGAGGCAAGAGGGGTGGGGTGGGGGTCCTGAGCCAAAGCTGCAGGTGCTGTGCTCAGCTTCAGCCACCGAAAGACCTCACAGCAGAACCAAACAACCTCAGAGCTTTGGAAAGGACGGGCTCCATGGGTGTTCTTTGTTGGGAGATGTACCCTGGGTGGCCATAACCATGCCCTTGGTTTCAACCTCCTGTCTGCCTGGGGCTCTACACAGAGCTGAGGGAGAGTGGTACCCCATCCCTGACTCCTGCTGAGAGCCCCTCCTGCTACCTTCTCCAGCTCACGAGCCATGGACCCAAGAGCAACTGCCAGGTCCTGCCTCCTGGTAGCCACAGACAAACACAAACCAAACCCCTACAGGACGTGGCTCTCACAGAGCCTTGCTCCCCAAAACCCCAAATCAAAAGGCAACTTTGCTTCCTGTTCTGAGGCCAAAGCTAAACCAGGAAGGCTGACTAGGGAGGGCAGGTGGCAGGCAGAACTCTCTCACCTCCAAGGCCCAGCCCAGATCCTGTCCCATGATCTTATGACTTCTTGCCATGCGTCCTTCTACCTCTGCCTCCCCTCCTCTCATCTCCTTGCCCATCTCTGCCCCAGACTCAGACTGGCCTTTCTCCGGTCTGCTGCCTAAGGGCGCCTTCCAGCTCAGTCCTCAGACCTACACGGGAACAGAGGCCAATGGCTCTCATTCCGTATATGGTGTATAGGAGCAGGCTGGATTATACCAAGCTTGGGTCCTATTGCCTGATGGGTGCCAAGGTGAGAAGAGCCAGCCCCAGAAGGAGTCAGTCAGCAGGGACACCTGTCAGCAGACCTGAGAAGGTCATTGATGATGGAGGACAGAATAGGAGCCAAGGCCATGGGCAGTGCTCTCAAGGCCACAGTGGACAGGGATCAGGATGGGCCCCAAAGTTCTCTTTTGGTTTTTCCAAATAAATCCTTAGGCTGACACCAAAGTATCATCTCTGGCATCTGTCTATCCATTACTCTGTTCCTCAGCCTAACCACACTGGTAGATTGACACTTTCCTGAGTTTGCCCTTCTGACTTAGCCAGCCATCTTTCCGTGAACCCATCCACCTCCACCTATTCATCTTCCTCCACCTGCCCTCCCAAGTAACTACACCTATTAACTACCTTGACCCACCTGCCTCTCCACCTATCATCCATCCACCCGCTCACCCACCTGTCCACGCCACCCCAACATACCATCTTTGTGTCTGGATGTCTTCCAATCACACCACACAGCCATCCCTGGATCCACCCTTCCTATCGTCTCTACCCACTGTCCTCAGAGTAATTTCAGCTCCCTCAGTGTACCAAAGACACTAGGTCCCCCATGCCCTCCATTCTACTTGCCCTGGACTGGCCAGGGGTGCCCTAAAAATACCCACCCATGAGGCAACAGCCCCTTGGTACTCTGCCCTGCCCTGACCTGCTTTAGACACCTCTAGATATATGAGTTCCGACCACAGGCATTGTGGAAAGATTGGACAAGTTTTTGTGACCATTGTGACACATCTGGACCTGCTTGGGCAGAGGAATCAAGAATGGGTGCTGAGAGAAGGGCTATACACTTGCTCAGGAGCTCTGGGATGCTATGTGAGGGAACCACATTCCCCAAAAGCAGGGGCAGTCCTTGATTTCAGGAGTCTGCCCAGAAGAGGGAGCTCTGAAGAGGAGAGTGAGCCAGTGCTGGCTTCCCTTAAGACTAGCACTCCTAGGATCCTGTTCATCAGGACACTCGGGTACCAGTCCCATCTTCTCAGAATCCCAAGTAACCCAGAGTTGAACTTGTCCAGTCTGCCCCTACTGGATTCCCCAATGGTAGGAGGAATTTGTTAGGTGCTTGGGGCCGTCCACAGCCTCCCGATAGCTCACTGTTCTTCCTGAAGCTCCTACCATGTAGAGAAGTTTCTTTTTTCTCCACTGGTCGGGGGAGGAGAGAAGGGAGGGAGGCAGAAGCTGCCTCTTAAGAAGAAGGACGGACAGAGAGCTAGAGAAGTTTCTGGAATGAGCCTGGGGAGAGACCCTTGGGTTACCATCATGTTGACAAGAAGATAGAGAAACTTCAGGTGAGCTCGACTCAGAGGAACTATCGGCTCCCATAGACAGCTCACAGACAAAGCTCAGGACAGTCTGTCAACCATGTGAACAAGTCCCCAAATTCTAGAAAACTCTATCTTGTTTTCATTCCTTTTCTTTCAATTCAGCTGGCCTTTAAGGTAGCAGCCCAGACAACAGGGAAACAGGAATGTAGCATTTGACTCAAAGTGCGGCCTGCTCACCACATCCTCAAAGGAACAAGCCCTGCTCCCACCCAGACAAGGCCCAGCAGCTCTCACCATTTCTGGGGTGGGTCAAGGGTCGGGCCCAGAGCACAGCCACGCACAGCCTGCCGGGGGAACCGTTGCTGTTCCATTTCTTTTCCTCCTGCAGGAGCTGGGAGGAGAGGACTGGATGTTTTCCTCATGAAAAGCCGTGGTCCTCAGCCCTCCGTGTCAGGGTGCCACGTCGTACCGCCCACCGCTGTCTTCTGCTGTCTTGTATGTTTGCCCTGTGGGCCATGGACATGATGATCAGGTTAATTACATCTGTGTAATAAAGTGAGCGTTTGCTATGACGGCTTGCTGCTCCTCCAGACCGTTGCGCACACGTGATCACCATGTTGAAAGACCTGATGTACAGACCAGGGCAGACGTGGTGTTCAGCAGTACCAGAGAAGACTTGGAGTGGACAAAGGAGGGGTCCTTCAGCTCCATGTGCTACTACTATATTCTGGCAAATAGGGTCCATCTTGGAAGGCTGGGCCTTAGGGAGTTCTGGAAAATCTTGGACCCCAAAAATGACCCTAAGAGTTTCAATTTCAAGGGCCTGACCTATATATAGCTAGCTGACTGGTTCACTATTGAGGCCGAGTTGCCAAGTTCTTTTTTTTTTTTTTTTTTTGGGTTTTTTTGAGACAGGATTTCTCTGTAGTTTTTTGGAGCCTGTCCTGGAACTAGCTCTTGTAGACCAGGCTGGCCTCGAACTCACAGAGATCCACTTGCCTCTGCCTCCCGAGTGCTGGGATTAAAGGTGTGCGCCACCACTGCCCGGCCCGAAGCCAAGTTCTTTGAGCTGTCCATATGAGGGAGATAGTGGGACCTGGCTGAGCAAAACCCTAGAGGCTTGAGGGACACTGAGGGTCTGAGGGAGACATTGAATCTGAGGGAACACTAAAGGGATACCTAAGACCTGAGGGGACATCGAGGACCTAAGAGTGGCCCAGCAGAAGGACCCAGATCTCAGGCTGTTCCTGTGACAGCTGTGTCCTGGCTAAAGTTCTAGAACCAACTACTGGCCATAGTGCTTCAGGCTGCAGTGGTAGCTGCCTGGAGGAAGCAACTGTCGTTAATACTGTCCCAACTTGGAACATGGTGTATTTTTGAAGGCATTGTTGGGAAGGCCAGCATGGGGGTGAGATGTCCCTAGGCCAGGCGCCTGGCTGGAGCCCCACTGGGCCTGGTGTGTCAGCAATCTCAGGATAGCACGAGGGGGAGGAGGGTGACAAGGTTTTTCCACTGCAGACACTGAGCTCAGAGGGGAGACTGGCCAGGGACTGGGTTCCATCCAGACGGTCTTGGCTTGGACATAGCCTGCCATGCCCTGCCTCCCACATGGAAGTGCAGAAAACACCCAGACAGGACCCTGACAGAGCTTCACACAAAGAGGTGGGGGACATGCAGGAGGACAGCAGTGCAGTGGTCACTTGTGTATCCCTGTCCTTGTCCTATGTGGCCAGCTTGTTCTCTCTGTAGGCATGGATGCTGCCTCTGAGTAGCCTTGGTCTGCCAAGAAGGACCAAGGGAAGTAACAGAAGCAGGACTGGGGAGAGGCCAGTGGTCATTCAGTCTCTGGTCAGGACTACTTTATCTTAGGTCATGTGACTATCCCACACAGTCCTTCCCTTTTGAGACATGGAGGTCACCGCAGGTTTTATTATTATTGAGCTATTTGTGACAGGGCCTCATTCTGGAGCCTAAGTTGGCCTTGAACTTGTGATCTTCCTGCCCCAGAGGCCCAAGTGCTGAGTATAGGTATGAGCCATCACATGAGGTGTGGCGGTTTTCAGACACTTTGGAGAACAGAATGAGCACATGAGAAGTCAGGTTAGAGGTCAGAAGCCCAGCTCCCTGGGGCTGCAACAGCCACCGCTACCTCCAAATCTGCCTCTCAACCCCTCTGCCCACCCCAGGATGTGGGAGGTGTCAGCCACCAAACTCCACATATACAGTGTAGCTCACTAAACCTAATTCCTATCCCAGGTTCTAAAAAAGACACCACTGAACAGCCTGGGAGCAGCATCACAGCAGTGTGGCTGTGGATCTGAGGAGGTGGCGTCACGTGAAGGTTCCTGTGGACACCTCAGAGTCACAATAGCATGGACAGCATGAGGCTCAACAGAGCAGACTCAAGAAGCAACAGGGCCGATGTCTAGCTACCACCCAGTGATGTGTTAGTAGATCTGCTGGAAGGCCCAGGAAGGAGTTAGTGGGTGTAGGCTGGCCATAGCCCTGTAGGATGAGGGCAGAGGGGCAGCAGCAGATGAACAGGGCTGGAAACCACTGCACCTGCCTGCATCTGCCGAGTACCCATCACCCAATTCGTACAGTTCAGCCTGAGCCTCCCTTGTGGCCAAAGGGATCGTTTAAATTGTGCCTGACTTAAATAGGCTCCCATCTAAAGGTGCCCTGTGTAGAGGTGGAAAAGGAAGAGTTTGAGGAACTCATGGTTAGGAAAGAATATGGAACTCTACTCTGGATGAGCCCAGGCCTGAACTCTTAGCCTACCAGGGACCCTTGCTCAGGCTCACCCAAAGTATCCAGACACCCACAGTGCCACCTCTCCCTGAAATAAGTCCTTTTCATGACTACAGCTCGGTAACTTGACCAAGATCTGGTTGTTGGTTAGGGCCCATTGTCAGAGGTGTGTGGTATGGCATCCTGCACACACCACGGGAGAGCATGCCAAGCTTGTGGACGTAACACCCTGTCTGACCCACTTTGGATTCGTCTACTCTTCCAAGTTTTGGGGGTGCAGTTGGTGAAGAAGACAGAGAGATCTACAGCCTTTGACCCCTCTGGTCAACATGGCCTAAGCTGGAGGCCCTCCTATGTGCTTTAGTGGAAGCAGCTGGTCAGGAGGAGGCCTTAAAAGGGAGGGCCGCAAGGCAGATGCAGCTGTGGAAGCGAGCGGCTCTGAAGCGCCAAGGTTCACCCAGTTTGCCCTTTCTGCATTCCCATGTGGTCCTTCCTGAGCAATGATCTCTTCCCACCCCCCACTGAAGCCTGGCTCCAGAGGGTCTCCTTCGATCCAGAGGCCCAAGGTTGGGGGGCCTGGGACAGGACTGAAAAGACCCCTTTGGGGCCAGGAGCTGGGAGTGGAACAGAGAGTGATGAGGAAGATGAAGATGCAGGCTTCCTGCTGGCCATGCTGGAGCAAGACAACCTACCCAAGTCCCCGGTGTACAGCCAGGCAGCACCCCGTCATGATACAGGGAAGCAGGTGTGGACCTGGGCACGGGGTGAGGGGCACAGCTGACTAGGAGGTGGAAGTGCCAAAGCTGCAGACCACAGGGGCTTCTCTGACTAGGAGGAGGTGTATTGTGGTGGAGGTGTCAGGGACTTCTGGGGCCTGAGCCTCTAGCTCTGAACTATGGCTACAGGAAGAACAGGGTGACCTAGGTCATTCCATAGTAGCCATGACATCCCTGGGGCTGACTGGCCACACCTGCCCTCCATTCTAGAGGGACCTACGGGTCACTGCCCCAAGCTTACTGTGGGTTGACCAGCAGGAATTGGAGGCCATCAAGCTGAAGCTGTGGGCCATGGAGCATGCCGAGGCCCTGCCGGAGCCGCCCTATGCACTGAGAGAGGCCACAGAGGAAGAGGGGGCTGAGGTCAGACAGCTGCTGAGCCCTGAGACTATGGGTAGGAACCTGGAACTTGCTGACCCTGTCCCCAGAAGGTAGAGGGACAGCTGTCCTCCCAAGACCTTGACCTTCTGCTCCCAATGGATATATACTCAGCAGGGACTCTATATGAGGACTACTGAGGGAACATTCTGGAGCACCTTGCAGCACTAGACCTTGCAACCCCACAATGTGGCCTTGGAAGCCTGGGTGACCTTCCCTGGGGTCATGAGGAATGGGCTCCTCAATAAGGTCCTCCTGCTGGTCCTGGGGTTCTCTCTCCACAGGCTGCTGCTTCCCTGGGACCTCCAAGGAAAAGGTGGAGGCTGACCACAGATCTGTCTATGTGGGCAATGTGAGTAACAGAGGAGCTCGCAGCCCTCCCTCAGCACCTGGCTCCAATTAGGGCATTCAGCTGGGCGGACACGTCAATGTCTGCCCTGGATGGGGCTGGCTAGGAGCTGGAGGCAGAAAGCTGTAGGACTGTAAACTCAAGGGTCTCCAAGACTAGACAGAAGGGGCACATCTGACACTAGTTGCCGCCGAGGAAAGGGTGGGCTGTAGCTCCTGGGCAAAACCATGGAGGTGAGAAGTGGCCAATCCTTGACCATTCAGCTGAAGCTGAGGTTAAGAATTCTGGTTTCTCAACACGCACTGGAATTGGGAGTTCCATGAGATTTACTGGTCCACACACCTAGCAGGAGTCAATACCTGGGATGCAACCAGCTGTCCACACAGGAAGCCCTTGACTGGCTCTCAGCAATCAACCCTGGGCAGGAGTGGGTAAAGCCTCAGCCCCTTCCCAGCCAGGAGTCAACCAACCTTGGAAGTCCCTCCAGCCCCTTTCTGCCACAACCGCCTCAGCAGGAGGTAGACAGAGAACCCAGCACTTACAGCAGGTGCCCTTTCTGAGAGCAGGTAGATTATGGAGGCTCGGCTGCCGAGCTGGAGGCCTACTTCAGCCACTGCGGGAAGATTCACCGGGTCACCATCCTGTGCGACAAGTTCTCTGGACACCCAAAGGGGTCAGTGTGGGGCTGTAGCAGGCTGGGCAGTGAGGGTGAGGCTGGGCCCCTCCCTCCTTGCCCAGCCATTCCCCACCTCTATCCCTCTCCAGCTACGCCTATATAGAGTTTGCTTCTCAGAGCTCTGTCCGGGCTGCCGTGGAGCTGGATGAGAGCACCTTCCGAGGTCGGATCATCAAGGTATGTTACACCACCGCGCCTTGCACATTAACTCACAAATTCTTCAACAGGCTCAGAGAGGTTAGAGTACCTGCCCCAGGAAACAGAAGTACCCAGCCTGACCCTTTGGGTATCTTAGCCGGATGGGCATTGCTCAAGAATTAAGGCATGATGGAAACCCTCGGACCCAGGGCAGAGCTTGGTGTAGGTGTGGCTTGGGGAGATGAACCAGACTCCTCTGCCGAAGGATGCTGGCCATGACCAGGCATGCCATGTGATCACAGCTGCATCCAAGTGAAGGTGGAGGGATAGCTTCAGCTTCAATGGTACCTCTAGGTCAGGAACCCCAAGCCCTTGGTATCAGCCACCCTGGCAAGAAGGGTACAGAACAGTGTTTTGGACCATGACATGGGTTCCATCCAGGTACTTCCCAAAAGGACGAACTTCCCAGGAATCAGCTCTACAGATCGTGGTGGGCTGCGAACACACTCGGGCAGCAGGGCCCAGCCCCTCCTGCACAGTAGCCTCCATCGAAGGCCTCGGTTCAGACTCCATGGACCCAGCCGGTGAGTCCTTGAGTCTGGACTCAAGGGGAGTCTTGAGTCTGGAGATCTAAGTGGCAAGATTCCTGGAGCCTGGCCCTGTTGTCCCCTCACATAAGCCTTAACTGGCCAGGGCACTTGGGAAAGGGTTGAGTCGGGGCTCGCGGTTTCTACCAGGTTGCTCTGTGCAACCTCCCTACCCAGTAGGGATACTCCTGCCTGGTCACCAGGGCTCTGCTGATGACAGGCATCCCTGTCATAGACGGTGGGCTCTACAGCAGGCTCCTCTGGCCTGAGTACTGGTAAGGCTGTAGCTGAGCCCATGAGCCAAGTGTGGCAAATTCTAGCCCAAGGCCTCCCTTCTCCCCTGGAACCACCACTCAAAAGAGCAGAGAGCCTGAGAAGGTACCTCCCACAGTCCCTGAGCAGCGTGGTGGTGACTTTAACCCTTGCCTGGTGTCCTCCAGGCTATCCCCTCTGAAAGCAACTCAGCTGCCTTTGTCTCCCCTCCCTCTCTGCAGGGGCCGTGGACGGGTCTCACCATGGTTCTCACCATATTAAAAGGATGGCCCAGTTTTGAAAGTGGGGCCAGGAGCTGGGTCAGGAGTAAACAGTAGTCTTTCCACTTAACTGCAAACTCGTCTTTGAGCCCGTCAGCGCACAAGTGCCTTTGAAGGTGGCCTAGACCCTCAGGTCACAGTGGGAAGGCACAGGGCAGGGAGATGCAGAGGACAGGGGTGGGAGGGGAGCTGGGATTAGCATACTCAAGTACTTTTAAAGAAAAATAGATGCATATTAATAGTAAAGCATAAATTATTAAACTTGAATATTTTAAAAGCATGTAACAAGTCTCATTTCATTTTCTCTGTAGCTTTGGGGCCTGTCCTGGAACTAGCTCTTGTAGACCAGGCTGGCCTCGAACTCAGAGATCCGCCTTCCTCTACCTTCCAAGTGCTGGGGTTAAAGGCGTGCGCCACCACCGCCTGGGACAAGTCTCACTTTTTTGGTCCTCCCTCAGATGCAGGTTTACTTTCTTCATGAAGCTCTGGAGGGTAATGAGATATGACCATGAGTCCAAAAAAGGGGCTCTTGCTCTGCCTTAAGATTCAATAGACAGTGAGCAGAATTCCACCCCATAATTTTGTCTCCTTGCCCCAAGTTGGCTCTCTAGACATAGCTGGACTTTCACCTCCATTCTGTCCTGGAAGGTGTCTGAACTGGTCAAGTCAGGAAGCAGAGGTGGAGCCTCTGTTCTAAACTTCGAGTGTGTGTGTGTGTGTGTGTGTGTGTGCGTGCGAGCACGTATGGGTAATGTGAGATTCTTCTCTGTATGCTGTGAATGTTTTATTACCATTGGTTAATAAGGAAGCTGTTTGGGGCCTATGGCAGCACAGAATAGGGCAAGGTGGGAATTTCAAGCAGGGATAGAGAAAGAAGTTGGAATCAGGGAGACACCATGTAGTTGCTGATGGAAACAGACACTGGAACTTTACTCAGTAAGCCACAGCCTTGTGGTGAAACAAAGGCTAATAGAAATGGGTTAATTTAAGATGTAACAGTTAATAAGAAACCTAAGCTAATAGACCAAGCAGTGTTTTAATTAATATAGTTTCTGTGTGATTATTTCAGATCTGGGCAGCCTTCGCCTACAAATTTGCCCTCAACATGGGGCAACTACATCCACATAAAACCTGAGAGTTTAAAAAGAAATTCTAGACACAAAACAAGAGTTTAGTGCAGCTTCTTGGTAGCCGCATTTTTTTTTTCAGATGGGCTTTAAAAAGAACAGTTATCAATACTCTTCTAGCAAAACAACCAAGGCTTTGGAATGGCAAAAGCAAAAGAAGTTTAGGCATCAAAGCAGCTCCAGGAGGAATCAGTCTGAGTCTGTGTCATCAGGGTAGTCCTTGGCATTGCTTAATGTGTGTGTGTGTGTGTGTGTGTCTATCTGCACATGCACACACGTGTGTATCTGGTAAAGACAGGCTAGTGTGTGCGTGCATGTGGACATGTAGCTGGTGAAGACAGACTGCTCTGCTCTGCCACTGCACTTAACAGGAAGAGAGCTGCTCAGGCCCAGGTCTGTCCAGGGCACTCACCACCATTCCTTGCCTTATGCTGACTTCATTAATTCTTTAAGCCCCAACAGATCTGCCAGTACCAGGCGGCTTCTTTTGTCAACTCCATCAATGCTTGACTTCCCCAAGCCACTTTCACATCCCTTGTCCTTAATGGAGTGGATGGTGCCTCTGAGGATGCAACCACATCTTCACCGCCAAAGTCTGAAGGCAGCCTGTGACCTTATTTGAAAAAGGGTCTCTGAAGACTCATGGCATACTGGTGCACACCTTTAATCCCAGCACTTGCGAGGCAGAGGTGGGCAGATCTCTGTGAGTTCAAGGCCAGCCTGGTCTACATAGTGAATTCCAAGACAATCAGAGCTACACAGTAAGACCCAGGCTCAAACAAACAAATAAATAAATAAAAAGCCAGGCAGCACTCTTGCCAAACCCACCCTCCGGCTAAAGCCTTTAACTTTGGGCACATATGGGCTCTGTCCCTGTCAGTCAGCTGCTTGCTGGACTTCAGTTCAACTTCATCTGCCGCTTATATCGATTAGTTGGAAGGTCTGGCTTCTTTTCTCACTGCATTTTTATTTGTTTGTTTATTCATTCATTCATTTATTTAGTTTTTAGAGACAGGGTTTCTCTGTGTAGCCCTGGCTATCCTGGAACTCACTTTGTAGACCAGGCCGGCTTCAAACTCACAGAGATATACCTGCCTCTGCCTCCCGAGTGCTGGGATTAAAGGCGTGCACCACCACCACCCAGTTACTGCATTTTTAATAACCCTATGCTCACTGGAGCAAAGCCCTAATACACATGGAGATGGGCTGTCTCTTCTACTGTCCACCCATCTCATGTGCACAAGTCACAGCCTGCTGGGTCCAAGCATAAACTCTACAGGGAAGGGGGAGGTCCTTGGCTGATGACTTCGGAAAGCCAGAAGCTATGAAAAGAGCAAGGAGCAGCAACATCTGCAGGGGCCTCAGACCTGGGGCAGGTCGTCCAGGCCTCTGCCGTCTCCCAGGACACACGTTAGCCACACTGTCCAGTGGCACAGAGGAAGCCAGCTTCAGTCACCACCGCCACACAGCTACAGGATTTTATATGGGGAGAGCCTGGTTTGTCCTTGGGGATGTATGGCCTAGGACTAGCATTGGGGTCCCTGTGGACCTCCATGCTCACTGTCGGCCAGGAAAGGCTCCTGGAGTTTCTCACTTGGCAGCTGTTTTAATGCTGTGTTCCATAAAGTTTTACAGATTTTTACCACCTCCTCAGGCCGGGGTTGAGCACAAATGCTAGGCCAAATGAACGACGGGTCCAGAACACTGAGGGCCCTTGCCCAAGAGGAAATGTATGTGGTGTTAGCCTTGCATTGCCTCCATGCTCTGGAGCTGGCTCTGGGCTCCCCATACCCTGCGTTCATCTGGACCACCCACCTACGCAGACAACGGAGGTCCAGAGGCTCCTGTACTCAGGGTTCTCCCTCAGGCCACTTGGCTGTGGTCACAGTCTCTGAGAGCAGCTCTCAGATCCTCAGCTGAGCCCTCCCTGCTGATACAGGACAGAGCCAATCTCATCATGGGAGGCATTTAGTGGGAAGGTACAAGGCACACAGTCCTGCCCGTGGGTTACAGTCAGGGAGGGGGAGGGGAATAAATAATCATCAGACGGGGTGAACACAGGCTTCTTTTCCTGACGACTGGGGCGGAGGTCCAGCTCAGCAGACCTGGATCATCATCGAAGTTACCATGTTATCAAAGGCCCTGAGAAAAGAACCCAGATTTAGAGCAGGACAGGCGATGATCCTGCCCTCTGCTGGTGGAGACTGGCACTGTCGCACCAAGTCCTCAGGGCTCTGGGGCTTCTTTAGGGTTCAGGGAAGCAGAGGGCAAACCCACCATCCTGGGCAGTGATGCCCACCTCCTGACTCCACAATCCCTGCACAGCCCCCACAGGCTGACTATGTCATAGATTTCCTCAGCATACCTCCCAGGGTAAGGTTCACAGGGTGTGAGCAGGGGTAAGCAATGAAGCCCAAGAGCAGGCAGCACTATCTCTGCCCTGCACAGCATAGGGGCACCAGTGTGCTCTCTCTTGGATCTAGATAGATACAAGACCCTCAATATCAGTCAAAGGAAGGTGCCACCAGAAGGGACTAACTTGGGCCACCTGTCAATTTCAAGGAGCTCCTTAGGAACAGACCCAGAAAAAGAATCTGGCAACAGGTTTGCAGCGCCTGCGTTTGAAGTCCATGTCTCCCGAGGAAGCACCTGCATGAGGTCCTCAGCTGGAGGGGAGGCACCTGAGCCCAACACAAAAGACACACTAGGCTACAAGAGGAGGCCATTGCCTCCATAAAAGCTACGGTCACAGCATGAGCTGTGAGCTTGCTGAGCCCTCTAGAGAGCCTCAGGAACCCACAGAAACAGCTGGGAGACCAGACGGGCGAACCTCAGCCCAAGCTGCCTATGCACAGTAAAGGTCTGTGCCGGCACTAATTAGGAAACCAGGGCTGGCTGCTTTGAAACAGTGACCTTAGGATAATAGTCATGGCTCTGGCTGCCTCACTTTCCCCATGACCACGCTATCACAAAGCAGGGCCCACCGAGAGACACAGGGCCCACCTACCTTGACTGGATGCGGTCTCCGGGGTTGTAGAAGGGGTTGCACATCACATCTGTGTAAGAGTTATGCAGCTTCCGGAACATCTGAAAGGATAGAAAGCAGTTTCAACGAGCGCGTGCACAGAACTTTTGCAGACTTTGCATTCTCAGTGAGGGAAGGGAAGCAGCAGACACCCACTCCGCTCCCCTGCACTTACACTGCGGATCTCGTTGTCTCGGAGGGCTGTATTGGAGGAATCCACCACCATGACAAATTTCACCTTGGAATTGGTCACGTAACCATATCTGCCAGGCTGTTAAGGAACATGCTTTGGCACCGCGGCTGTATGACTGCGTATGGCAGTCAAGGGCCTGCCAGCCCGGAGAACTTGGTGAACCCTCACTTCGGAGAAGACTGACAACCTTGAATCACAGGAAGTGCCCAGGCTGGGGAGGCTGCACCTCAACTGGGGACAGCTCTGCCTCCTTTTGAACTGATGCAGGGCCTAGGATGTTAGTTGCAAAACTAAACTTCTGCCATCAGAGTGTTAACACAGTGGCTCCAGTGTCCCCATGGGAATGCGCTTAAATTCTGCAGTCTTAATAACTTGTCCAAAGGAATGGCCTAGAGTTTACAGCCACGTGACACTGAGCCTCACAACAGTGTCATGACACAATGAGCCTTGATTCAAAGTTGGTGGCCTCTAACGAGCATAGAGAAGCCCAGATTCCTGTAACGCCACCTTTCACCCCCTGGAAGCTCAGCCTTGGTTTTCCAGTGACTCTTCCTATTGGGGAGAGTGAGGCCAAGAGGCTGTTGTTAGCTTCAGGACACCTGCCTGCCTGACCAGCTGAAACCCCTTACAGTTTCTCTTTTCTTGTGTCTCCCCCCACACCCCACTCTGCGAGTGCAGGGGCCGTGCTGAGCACCAGCGGATACACCTTGTAGTCCTCAGTTGGATAGAGCAGGCCCAGGTACAGCTCCCTCTGGTCCACCAGTGCCTTCCCCATGGCTGAGATCTTCTCATCTACCACATCCAGGGACGTGTGCACCATGTAGTGGAACTTGAGCTCATCCTCTGTGGGAGTGCTGCGGATGTACAGAGGGTAATTCTGCAAGAAGGGGTGGGGATCCACCGAGTGAGTTCCAGCACTCCTAAGGCAGGCTCTCAGCCATCAACCCCTCACACTCCGAAATACACTGCGGCAGGCACTGCCTTCAGGGGCGGAACCTAACCAAAGGGGACTGGATGTCATATGCAGAGGGGGGATGACAGTTATAACTCGGGGGCATAGCACTTGCCTGATATGCACAAGGCCCTAAGTTCAATTCCCAGTACTGAGAAGAGAAATGACATTGGACTAGGGACATAGCTCTGTGGTAGAATGCTTGAGTAGCAGCTTCAAGCGTCAGTTCAATCATCTGTACCAGAGAGGAGGAGGAGGGAAAGAGGAGGAGGTGGCAGCAGAATAGGCACAGGGGCAGGAAGGTGAGCAGAAATGAGATGGCCCAGGAATGCCAACATGAGCACCGCCTAACAACATACCCTGACACTAAATTAAGTCATTCCTCTTCCTAGAATCATCTCTGCCTCAACTACCACCACACTCTCAAGTGTCATCCCAACACCAGGCACGCTGGCTATTTCTTAATGTGCCGCACAAGGGCAGTGGTCTGTGGCTCAGCCCTTCAAGACTCAGCTCAAATCTCCATTGCAACACATCTGACCATCCTCAGCTCATAGTCAAAAGCTTCACTCCTGGCCTCCCGCATCTGTTGTTCACTATGTCCAGAAATTGTCTGGTCTACTGTTGTTGAATGAGTGTCCAAATCAGGGCACCTCCGCATAGATTCTGGACTTCAGCGTGAGTTTATCAAAGCAGCAGCTGCATTATTAATTGGGTTCTGATTTTGGTGGGCTTATGGGGGCCTAACTCCCTCTTTCATACTGTCATCATCACAACAACCCAGTCCCTACCGACAGGTCACAGGGAAGGGCGCTCAGAACCAGCAGGATCTGTGGACCTCTGGTGCTGTCTTAGCATTCATAAACAGCTTTCCAGAGGAAATGAATATACATACTGGCCAGCTGGGAGATGAAAGCTGGGAAGAGAAGAGACAAAGGGAAGAGGGAAACTTAACAAGAGGTTTGCAGGCTTTCACGGCGGTTGGAGTAGAAGGTTGAAAGTGGCATGAAGGGAACTATCCTAAGGCAAAGAAAAGCACTTAAATTCTAGGCTGAACTTGCGACGCGCCTGGTTTGTATTCAAATAGCACTGGCGGGGCAGCCAGGGGACGGTCCGGAAGGCGGGGCGGAAAGACCGGACGCGGAAGGCAGCTGAGGCCGTGAAAAGAAGAACGCATAGAACGGAGGGTGGAGGGCTGTAAGAGCCCGTCAAGCTTCCCGGTGGGTCTCAAAACCTGGAGGCCGCGGCCTGCAAGGTAGCAGCAGGAGGCGGGCGGGCGGCTGGGAGCGAGAGAGCGCAGGAGGAATCCTGATCACAGCGCTTGGCTGAGGCTTAGGAGCCGAGAGCTGAGATGATCGAGGGCATGGCAGGAAGGAGCCCCACCGCCCGCCACCCGCCGCCCGCCGCTTCACACGCACCTCCTTGGCGATCACCGCGATGCACACCGCCATATTGGCAGGCCGTGCGCCGCATCATGTGACCCGGAGGGGGTCAGGCCCCGCCCACTTCCCCTCCCTCCTCGCGCTGCGGCTCAGACCCCGCCTCTCTCTACTGTGGCTCTGCCCTGCTTTTCAGCTCAGACCCTGATGCTGACCCTTTCCTGTCAGGCTCGAAGTCCACCGCTCCTGCTGGGACGCTGGCGGCGCCCCTGCTTCTGTCGCTCCGTCCCACTTTTCCCGTCAGGCTCCACAGATCGTGTCACTCAGCCTGGCAGGCCCGGCTCTCACGCTTCGGCATGGTGGGGTCCCGGCTTCTCTGGCAGCCTTGCCTGTCCTGCGGCCTCCCAGACCCAACGCCCTTGCCCGTCTGGCCGAGCCCACTCTTCTTGTCAGTCAGGCGGCCTAGGCCCCGCCTCTCCTGTCACTCAGCCCCCAAGGCCCGCCCCGCGGTCCAAAGGAACCGCCGCGAAATTGGGACTGGGTCTCTCCCTGCAGGAGCTTGGTTGCCATGGCGGTATATGCCACAGCCACCAGAAGCCCGCAGCTGCTGCTGGTTCTGAGCACCCTAGGACTCCTGGCCATAGGTGCTCCACAGCCCCCCAACATCGTGCTGCTGCTCATGGACGATGTGAGTGGGGTCACGCGGCGGGGGGACACGGGAGATACAGGGCAGCCACAGCGGTGACTCGAGGGAGGCCCAGACCCCGGGGTCCTTTCTCGCTCTTACTGTTTCCGCAGTGGGGGTCGGTGTTCAGGGAGGATCTCCCCGGGGGAGGAGCCTGGTGTCCCCCTCCCCCTCATAAGGTGGCCCTGCCCTTGGTGCCCACCTCCAGCCTGGGCCTCTGGGGAATTATGACCAAAGTCAGGCATGGGAGGGAGGAAAGGTAAGAATGTCACCTGAGGGGGCTGGTGTGCAACCTGCAGCCATCAGTGAACTCAGCCCCAGGGCTGATCTGCCTCCCTGACTTGAAAGCTTAGAGGTCGGTCAGCACTGGGTCAGATAGAACTGTCCAAACTGGACGGGACCCTGTCTTCCTCTGAGCTTCAGCCCTCCAGCCCCCCACTCCACCCCAGACACACTACAGAGTGGCACCTGTCAGCTATCGTTAGAATCAGAGTCATATCCAATTCAGATTGATTTGGAACCAGTCGTGGGCACCCCAGAGGCTAATGGCTACCTCAGCCCTCTCCACAGAGCCTTCAGACCTGTGCTGAGCCACGCTAAACTCCCCAAAGTGGTGCCCGCCAGAATAGAGGGTGCCATGTATGTCAAATAAGTTGGATTTTAGAGACTTAGTAGGAGAAAAAGAAAGTGAACATCCCATTTGATAATCATTAGGTTAGTGGTTCTTTATTATGAAGAAAAGTATATGCCTGAAAAGTCCTGTACATAATCCCACTACCCAGAATTCACTGCAGGAAACCTTGAATGTTTCTTTCCAGCTTCCCATTCTGCGTGGTCGATGACTAATTCACACTCTGGGTGCCCGGCTCCTCTGGCCCCTGTTCTGGTGGCTGGTAGCAGGCTTTGCTCAAGTAATAAGCAGTACTGAAGATATGTATTATATACATATATAGTGCCTTTCAGCATTAGGACCTTTTAGAGCCAAATCACACTGGTTTGGTTTGTTGGTTTATTGGTTGGTTCGCCAGAAGTACTGACTACAGACACTTGTCTGTCAGTTTTCTGCTCTCTCCTTTCCAAATGACAGCCTGTGAGGAGCGAGAGGTCCTTCCTAACCCTCCATTAGGCTACTGAAGAGTGTTGAAATGATAGACTTTGGATAACTGAGTTAGGTAAATGTATTGTTAGCCCTCTTCTTCCCTACTCACTTTTGTATTTTGTTTTGTTTGTTTGCTTGGTTGGTTGGTTTTTTGAGACGTGTTCTTGCTATGTAGTTCTGGCTGGTCTGAAACTCACTCTGTAGCTCAAGGTGGCCTCAGACTCAAGGCAGTCGTCCTGCCTTTGCCTCCCCAGTGCTAGGATTACAAGCATGAGCCACTGCATCTCTTAACCTAATGACTCTTCTAGTCTGGCAACTAGAAAATGTGAAGTTACATGTAAGGCTCAGAGTGCATTTCCTTTGGTTGGCTACAGGTGAGTAGAGGGGTTTTGGATAATGGATGTGACTACAACCAGATCAGTTTACCCGAAGATGGTTGCTTAGGAACCCCCACCACCTACATCCTGAATTTCCTGGGGCTGGGCCCAGAACATTCTGCAAACCTTGGCTCTTGTCATGTAGGGACTTTTGATGCATACAACTGAAAGTGAACTCAGCTTCAGCAAAACTGGGAATCCCTGGCTTTACCAACTAGGTCACTCTGGCTTAAAGCAAGTGGTTCCAGGTTTCCGCTTTCATAAGGCGCTGTCTGTAAGCTGGCCCCTGGAGGCCCCTGGTGGCCCCATGATAGCTTCATGACAGCCCTAGGCAACTCCAGCTCACCTACCCTATTGTCAGCAGTCCTAGTGGGACAGTGGCTTTTGCTGACTCTGACCCACTCCTGACCCAAGCATAAGGTGAGAAGAATAATGCTACACTGTCCAACAGTTCAGCTGAACCCACCTCTGGAAAGGACACCCTGGGTGGGGAGGCCTCCTGGGTTCATGCTTGACCTATCCCAGGGTGCCTGAAGAGGCACCCTGCCAGAAGAGGCAACAATGCCAGAAGGGGAAAAAGTTCTGAGGTGTCCCCTAGGTGGCAGATAAGGACAGCCTCAGCAGCACAGGGGCTTCCATACTAGTCCCTTCTCCTCTGCAAACCCCTCCCTTTGCTCGCTATAGCCGCCTTTGCCAGGCTGATCAAGTCTGAATCTGTAACATGTGCTTATGTCTGTCTGGCTTACCTAGAATGACACGGCTCCAAGCTCCAGACTTGATAACTGTCTGATTGTCTAAGGTTGTCTCTAGTTTAAATTCTTTAAGGATTGCCACTGACTTTGGACTGATGGACCATGGTCCTGTCCTGCCATGGTCATATCATGAGCAGCTGGACCGCTGTTCTCAGGAAGGCCACTGTGGGATGTTGCCTTTAGTGGGCACTGGAATCTGGGCATCCCCGCCCGAGAAGAGTGGTTTCTTGTATCTAAGCACTGTATAGGTATCTGAATTCATATGAAACACCACCTCCCCGTTTCACCACAATCTCACTCTGGATTCTCCTTGACTCCTCAGCCCTTAGGATCACTGTGGAAGTCAGACAAGACATATAGACTGTAGAGTAGGAGATATGTAGAGTTTATTACAAACCTATGAACTTCTGCTCTCAAGGGTGAGAACAGGCAGTGGTCACAGGGACCATTGTAGAGCAGAGCATACTCAAAGGATGAGACTGGACAATGACCAGAAAAGACCATTGCAGAGCACAATACTCATGGTCATTGGAGGCAGGTATGGGCTGGAAGTAAGGGCAGGCTCTTTGGCCTAGTGCCTGGGATGGCTTTCCACATAACCCTCCCTAACATGGGGGGCTGAGTGGAAAAGAGAAGGACAAACACAACCCAAGTTCAAATAAGCTTTGTCCTAGCCATCACTGTGTCACACACCTTTAGTCCTAGCACTCAGAAGGCAGAGACAGGCAGATCTCTGAGTCTGAGACCAACCTAGTCTACTGAGTGAGTACCTGAACAGCCAGGGCTACACAGACAGAGAAACCTTGTCTCAAAAAAAAAAAAAAAAGAAAGAAAGAAAGAAAGAAAGAAAGAAGGAAGGAAAGGAGGGAGGGAGGGAGGAAAGGAGAAAGGGAGGGAGAGAGGGAAAAGGAAGGAAGGAAGGAAGGAAAGAAGGAAGGAAGGAAGGAAGGAAAAACGTCCAGCTCTTCTAGGTATGTCCAACCTGCAGTCACATGCAGCAAGGATAGCCATAAATTTGGCCCAACACGAGAATCATAAACTTACTTAAAACATATTTTTGTCATGTTTTTGTAACTGATTGTAATTCTCAAACATGAACTTTATAGAAGACAACACTATATCACAAAGACAAAAATTGTATATGCCTACTTCTCTAAATGTCACGACTCCACCCAGGGTCATAAACACAACTCTAGTCATATTCTGTGAACCAGCGATTACTCCCACAATTTCAGGTTTTGGTTTTACAAGCTGATTGTTAAGGATCCATCTCCAATAGCTTCTAGGTCTGCTAATATCTAATTAGTTATCTAATCCCCCTGTGTATCTGTCATCTTGGTGTGTGTGAGGTACACGTGCCTTCGTGACCAGCCAGCCCAAAGTAAGAACTTTAGATCCTAAACCTCCTATGAGTTCTCTGGTTGATTCCACCCACTTGTGCTGTCACAGCCTGATCTTGGAGGAAGCAGGCTTGTGCCATCCAGCCCTGGGGGCAGGAGGCTGGAAGCTGCCTGGTCTAGCCCTCCCAAGACCACCCTGTACGTCCTCGCCCTTGTCTTGTCTAACTGCTTGCCATCCTTCACTGTGATAAGCCATAGCTGGGAGTTGACTGCATGTCCTTCCTCCAATGAGAGTTTTCCACAGCTGGTCCAAAGCACAGCTTACATCTCAAAGGGAGTAAGAGTTTATTCTGAGCCAAATCTGAGTGATCACAGCCTAGACACATGAGTTCAGGTTTCCTTGAATAACATTCCAATGTGGAAGTGTAATAAGGTCAGACTCATGAGCTCCAGATGGTCATGAATTTGGAAAAATACAATTCCACCCAAACACTATAACCTACAGCTTGTTCGTCCATCATTTGGTGGCCACTTGGACTGGCCCTAGCCTTTGATAGTTGGAATCAGACTGCCATGGACACTCATGTAGTCTTGGAGCATAAGTTTTCAGTTCTGTAAGGCACAGCCAGCCAGGCCATGCGGTAACTCTAGGCTCAGCTTTCAGAGGAACCTCACCGCTTTCTTTTGAAATCTAAATTTGCATAACAGCTTTATGCTGAAAATAGATGTGTATTCTTAGACACCAAGACTCTAGTAGCATACAGAGGTTGATCTCAGCTGGGGAGGAAGGCAAATACAGATATATTCCTGGTGGTGGTCAAACTGATATAGAGGCAAGAGCCAGCAAATTCCTAGTAAGCCCCGGAGCAGAAGCTGCCAGGGTTTGTGCAAACTAGATGGCTCTTCCTTGGAACAAAAGAGCCATTTGTTGGAAGGGTTCACTCCTTATCTCTTTGATCTTCCCTGCAGATGGGCTGGGGTGACCTAGGTGTGTATGGAGAGCCTTCCAGAGAGACCCCAAATTTGGACCGGATGGCTATAGAAGGCATGCTTTTCCCAAACTTTTATTCTGCCAACCCTTTGTGCTCACCATGTAAGTTGCTGCTGCCCTCCACCCCGAACCCAGCTCTTCCACGTCTGCCCCTCTAACCCTAATCTAGGTAGAGCAGCCTTTTTTCAGGCATCAGGAAGGCTGCAGGTAGAATGAGGGCTGTGTCACTGGTCATGCTGGTCCCTGGTTCTGAGCTTACTAGTGCCCTTTAAGGGCATTAACCTGCTATTGCCTCCCAGGAGGCGGAGACCACTCTGCCCCAGGGGAGGGCTGCTGTCTGTCTCCCAGAACTGCCACACTACCCTCAGAGTACTGTCTGTACTTCCTGGTCACAGGACATGGGTGTAGTGGAGAGATAGTGAGGTCATGTCCTCTTCCCAAGGAATGTTACTCTTATTACATTGGTGCTTACAGAAGTGCTGACCGTAAGTAAGAGCAATGGGTGGGGTGAGGGGTCGATAGGAGGCAGGCCATAGGGGCCTGCAGTCTGGTGGCTGTCCCAGAGTCTGGAGACTGAGCATGCAGACAGAGCTGAGTAGCAGAGCCTGCTGTATAAACTGCAGTCACCAGGCCATTGGGCCATCTCCCAGTGCCTGACTTCTTCAATCCAGAGGCTAGAGGAGACTGAAACACAACAGTTCAACGTCAACCTGATGCATTCATGACAGACACATCCCAGGGGCTGTGCACATGGGAGGCACTGCAGAGCTGGCTGGGGGGCCTATAGATTTGTGTCACAATGTCTGTTTTCATCCTTCCATGTAGCCAGGGCAGCCCTGCTCACAGGACGGCTACCCATCCGCAATGGCTTCTACACATCCAACGCGCATGCAAGAAACGGTATGCCACCCCTCACCCGCCACCCTGCAGGTACCTCTGTCTAGGTAAGGGAAAGCTGGTGTTCTAGGCCTTAGTGTGAGAGGTTTGGGGTCTGGAATGGTAAATAAAGGCAGCCTAAGGTAGAACTGAGTCCCACAGTACAGACCCCATGTCACAGACTTCTTCTCTGAAGTGGCCCAGTGAAAACCAAGCTGGGGCTGAGTACCTCAAGCCCCACACAGCATCCTCCTTCCACCCTTGACCTGCTCTAGGGCACTGCCCTGACACGGCTCCTACTCCACTAGGAAAGCCATGAGGTTTCAGGTCAGAACAGGGAATGTGGGAAGAGCCAGGATCATAGCCTGTAGGGAACAGCATGGTGTCAAATGGTAAACCAGGCTGGAGAGGTGAGAGGCAGGTGGGAACAGGGGCAGCATCACACCATCCCCACCATGCTGGTACTAACGGAGAGCACCTGGAATATCATGGGAAGTGTCCCTATCCTGACCACAGTCCTGCCTGTCCACCTTGATGGGGCAGTGTGTGTATCCATTACAGACAGGATTATTCCTAATGCAGTATTGTCATTCCAGCTTACACACCTCAGGAGATCATGGGTGGCATCCCTAACTCAGAACTCCTCCTGCCTGAGCTCCTGAAGAAGGCAGGCTATACCAACAAGATCGTGGGCAAATGGTGAGTCCTGGACCTCCCTCTGGGCAGGTCTTTTCTGCCCAGGTCTTTCCAAATGAGAAGTTCTTAGAAGGAGTAGAAACTGGATTCCAACTCCATTTAGACTTTTGTAGGCAATTTTTTGCTTTCTGAGGCAAGGTCTCACTATGTAGCTCAAACTGTTTTTGGTTTCATGATCCATTGACTCATCTTCCACATGCTGAGATTATAGTTGTGCACCATCTGTAATCATTGTGGGGGAACTTTTTTTTTAACCCCAGCACTTGGGAAGCAGAGGCAGGCGGATCTCTGTAAGTTCGAGGTCAGCCTGGTCGACAAGAGCTAGTTCCAGGACAGGCTCCAAAACTATAGCAAAACCCAGTCTCAAAAAACCAAAAAAAAAAAAAACAAAAAAACAAAAAAACCCCCAAACAAACAACAAAAAAAACCTTGGTGTTTCAGACACACACATAGTACACAAATTTGCATGCAGGTAAAACAAAATAAAAGTAAAAGTAAATATATATTTTTGTAAAATTAAAAAAAAAAAACATGGTGTTTAAAGTCAGGAACTGGATGAGTGTGGTGCACACCTTTAATCCCAGCACTCGAGAGGCAGAGACAGTTTGAAGTCATCCTAATCTGCATAGCTGCAGGCAAGGCAAAGCTACATAGGGAGACCCTGTCTCTTAGTCCAGCAGGAGCTCGAGACCCCAGCCTCCAGCAAAGTGTCTCAGCATGACACTGAGCAAGCACTCGGTCATCCTCACCCTCCCTCCTTCCCACCACACCTCTGTCATCTCTGCGCCACTCATGCTTGTGGTCACTGTAAAATGTCACTAAATGAGCCAACCTCATTCTTGCATACAGATGAGACAGTTTGCCATTCGCCAGAGGGCTTCTGTCAAAGAAGCCAGTGCTAGGTAGGAGCAGGGGAAGAGCAGCAGGTGGCTGAGTCCGTGAGATGAATAATCACATCAGTAATGGCTCCTGTAACTTCACTGTGGCTGGTTTCTAGTTCTGACGTTCATCTCGTTTACTCCACAACATCCCGTGATCCCCTCTGATACGGCTCTCCCCAATCTGAAGCCAAGCAGGCCTCTTCCCTCAAGAAACCTTCCCTGTGGTTTTCACTGCTCATGGCCCCGCTCATTGCTCCCCTTGGGAATGGTTTCTCTGACTCTGTTATGAGTCACAGCGGTGGAAAACCTGATACTAGGAAATCCAGGCAACCCAGAGCTGCCTAAGAAACATTTGTCATCTTTCAAGCAAAAACTGAAACCTAGCCATCCAGGGGGACGGTGGCAGAGGAGAGTTGACAGGCATCAGGTCCCTCCTCATCTGCACAATCCTAAGCAGGTGGCAAGGAAGTCCACAAAACCATGGTAGAGGCAGGCAAAGAGTCGGAGGTCCCACGGTAACCAGGGATGCCTGTGTCTCGCCTGACAATTCTGATAGGTTCACAGCTTCCAACTGTTGGGGACTGAAGGGGTCAAAGCTGAGCAGGAAGCAAGTTTCCATAGAGCTGCTCATCTTCCTGGATGACTTCTGATAGGAAAGAGCTGACCAAGAAGAACAGCTGAGGCAGATCTCCTCGATGAGCAGGGTTTAGTCCAGGGCTATCAGCTAGAGCCAGTACTGCCCTGTGTCCTTTATGTAGACCTTGACATGGAGGGTCTAGATTTCATTTCCCTCACCAAGTCCTGCATGGACACGGAGTTTAGACTCCTGCAAGTAGACTGTGGGGTCTATCAGCAGCCAATTGTGGGTGACTGTGACAGTAACACAAATCTCAGGAGACCACCAGCCCACTCTCCAGTCCTGCTCGCCAGTTGGTTAGTACCAACCACTGTTAGGACCAAGAGCACAGGATTATAACTGCGTCCAGGCAGGGCACTGGTCATGCTTCTCCTACACAGAGACATGGACACAAAGGTCCTCCCATCTGCTCTGCAGTAATCGGAAAGGACAAATACCTTGTAGTGAACCTGAGAGCACAGCAACACAGAGGATGTAATGCAGGCTGACTTAAAGATCAGAGATGTCAGTGTGCCATAGTGGTGCACTGGTCCTCAAAGAGGTGATCATAGACTTAGTATGTGAAGGTCGGAGAATAGTTCTAATGGTTCACTCTGTGCAACCATTAGGCAACCAAGCACTGCAGAGCCAACCATACTGTGCCAGTCTACCCTGCTAGTGTGGAAACTGAGTTCTGGACAGGTGTTCTTCTCTGAAGGTAGAGTAGTTGCTAGCCAGCCAACTATCCCCCAAGACTTCTCTGCTGCCCTTTCGCCCTACCCATGGAATGGTAACCTTGGATCTGCATACTCTGTACCAGGAGGAAAAGTCAAGGTGGAGTTCCCTGAAGATAGCCTATCCCAAGTACAGCTGGGAAAAGGACACTCCCCCTCAGGGATGCTGTGTTGAAAGCTGTACCTGAAAAAGGCTTTCTGCAGGTGTGTGTGTACAACACACATAAACAGGTCTGTGTCCCAGGCTGGATGATAACGGCACACATAGCATGGTTTGTAGTCAGTGGTAGTCTAGCATGTGCTCTAAAGAGCAGGTAGGAGCTGGAGTCCCCAGGAAAGGCAGGTTCTGCTTCAGGGATACCTCAGGACTGCTGATCCACTGATGCTTAGAGTTGGAGTTGGGATAATGGCACTTCACAGCAGCCTTCCTGTGGTTACTAGTAGATGGAGAAAATACAAGTAAGTGTCCCTGAAAGAAAAGGAGGCAGGATGGATGTAGATGGAAGTTTCTGTCCCACCTGGTCCCACACCTATTCTCATATAAATACACGGAGGCTTATATTATATTAATTATACACTGTTTTGCCTATTAGCTCAGGCCTATTATTAACTAGCTCTTAAAACAAATTAACCCATAATTTTTGTCTATGTCAGCCACGTGGCTTGATACCTTTTATCAATGAGACATTCTCCTCTTGTTTTCTCTCCATCTGACTGGTGACTGTGTCTCTCCTTTCCTCTTCCTAGAATTCTCCTAGTCTGGTTACCCTGCCTATACTTCCTGCCTGGCGTTTTATTAAACCAATACGAGTGACAAATCCTTACAGTGTACAAGAGCCTTATCCCACAGCAGATGGGAGAGCATGGGGTAATACCTGGCATGGGGAGGTGGGAAGGGGTCCTCACAAAGGGATCCTGCAGCTTTTCCTAAGGCCTTTACCCTGTGAAGGTTTCCTCTGTGGACCCTTCTCTGGGTCTCCGCATAGCTTGAACTATCTATACCAGAGTAGGCATACTGCCATATTCTTTTTTACTCATGCCCTGGCCTCTGAGGATGAGGGGACAGTCCTACGCACTGCATCGTCTTCCCACCCAGCCACCTTCCTGGTGATTTCCCTTAGCTGGGGTAGTACTCTGACTTTTGTGTTAACAGATGGAGCTGTGACCTGCCTGACTAGAAACCCAAGGGAGAAACACAGTCCTTGGAGTGTCCCTGAGGGTAAAGAAAGGCAGGGGAAGCTGCTAAAGTCTAGAGATAGATGAAATGGGCACTTGAATCCAACTGCCTTCAAGGCATCTGGGAGATTTCTCTCCATGCACTATCCTTCAGGATTTCTTTCCTGATACTGAAGGGACCCCTAAACCCTCTTTCGTGTCTCATTGTGCCCAGATGCCATTGGCTGTGCTGGGACACCCTCAGCTGTGCCTGGAAGCCCTTGGCTTGGTCAGGACACTCTGCTCTACTGAAATACCCCCAGTTATGCTTGGATGCCTGTGGGTATGCCTAGAGCTCTGGACACTAGCATTGTCTGGGGAGGACAGGTGGTTCCTGTGCTCCTTCTTGAAGTGAGGTCTTGACATTTTGTGTCTTGGTGTGTCTAGACCATGGTGGGGTGCTACAGGCTGCTTATATGGTTTGCAATTGTGATGGTGACTGATTGTTGTTGATCAAAACATTGGGATGTCCCCAGTGAGGGGGAGTCTCTGACATGTCTTGGTTCCTGTTTCTAGGCATCTAGGTCACAGACCCCAGTTCCACCCCCTGAAACATGGATTTGATGAGTGGTTTGGATCCCCCAACTGTCACTTTGGACCTTACGACAACAAGGTCAAGCCCAACATCCCTGTGTACAGGGACTGGGAGATGGTCGGCAGGTAACAGGCAGAGCCCTTTCCCTTCCCTCCTGAACTACCCACCGGCATCTGGTTTCCTATGAGTTGAGAGTGAGATCTCTGCTTCTTAGGCAGTTTTGCCCAGGACCTCACGAGTCTCACCTGAGGCCATTTCTAACCTTTCCAGAGACATAGATTCCTTTCAGATATGTAACTCAAAGGTCCTCCTGCATCCAAGGTGTGCTCATAGCTTGTATTTTGGAGGGTCTAGGACCCATGTACTCTCTTGGTGGGGTAACCATCATCTTCCGGCACTAAGTTGGCCTCTTAGCTGCACACAAGAGAGGAGACTGTGGGGCTAAGTTGATGTGAGAGTCACTGCGGGGACTGCCCATTGTTGCCATAGAAAGAGATTTCTACTCTGGAGGGGAGACCACCTGGGTCGGGCCTTGGAAGGGTTCCTCCAACTTGTAGCTCTGGTGTCAAGGACCTGACTCATCTTTCTTGAGTTTTGATTGCTTAATTTTTCTTTTCCTTCCTCCTTTGTTCCTTGGGTGGAAGTTCTTATATCAGCAGACCTAAAGGTTGAACCAAACATTGCCGTTTTAAAAATTAGTGCCTTGGGGCTGGAGAGATGGCTCAGCGGTTAAGAGCACTGACTGCTCTTCCAGAGGACCGGGGTTCAAGTCCCAGCATCCACATGGCTGCTAACAACTGTCTGTAACTCCAAGATCTCACACCCTCACACGTACATGCAGACAAAACACCAATGCAAATAAAATGAAAATATTAGAAAAAAAGAATGCCTTATATCTGCAGTAGGTCATTCAAAGGTCAGTGATAGTCATCCCTGCAGCAGGCTAGAGGACATCTTCACCTCTCAAAAAGAAGCCTCTGGGAGCTGGGAGAATGGCTCAGTCAAAGTGTTGACTTCACAAACCTGAGGACCTTAGTCCAGTCCTCAGTGCCAGCTAAAAAGCTGGGAAGAATGGCATGCTGTTGTAATCCCAGTGCTGGGGAGAATGAGACAGGAGGGTCCCTGGGGCTCACTAGCCCACCAGCCTAATTGTGAGTTCAAAACCAATAAGAGACTCTGGCCCAGCATGGTGGTGCACCCCTCTAATACTAGCACTTGGGACACAAAAGGAGACAGATCCCTGTGAGTTTGAGGCCAGCCTGGCCTGGTCTACACAGCTTAGCCAGGGCTACACAGTAAGACCCTGTCTCAAAAAAAAACTTCAGTAAGACAGAAAGAGAGAGACCCATCTCAAGGAGATTGTCCTCCATCCTCTACATACGTGTACACCCACTGCATGCATACCTGCATTACATGTGTACCTATGTACACATATACACATGCATTTATTTTTTTAAAATATTTATTTATTATGTATACAATATTCTGTCTGTGTGTATGTCTGCAGGCCAGAAGAGGGCGCCAAACCTCATTACTGATGGTTGTGAGCCACCATGTGGTTGCCGGGAATTGAACTCAGGGCCTTTGGAAGAGCAGGCAATGCTCTTAACCACTGAGCCATCTCTCCAGCCCCCACATGCATTTATTTTTAAAGCCTGTGCCCTTAGCTGCAAATTCAGACCTTGTCTCATCTCTACAGCAGATACGCATGTGCGCGCGCACAGACACACACACACACACACACACACACACACACACCCCTGCTCTAGACTCATCTTACATGCTGGAGCCATCAGAGCCTTCTCACCTCAAACAGGATCTTCACCTAAGAGCTGTGTGAGCTTCACATGGAACATTCTCAACTGAAATTAAGGAAGGGGCTTTTCTGACTAAATTCTGAATTTTGTTTTCAGATTTTATGAAGAATTTCCAATTAACCTGAAGACTGGGGAGGCTAACCTCACCCAAATCTACTTACAGGTAAGACCTAGTAGGCTGGTCAAGGCAAGGAGGCAGGAGGATGCTGGGGAAGCAGAGGGATGAACTGACCTGAAGCAGAGGAGAATGGAGGCTATTCCCACAGGAAGCTCTAGACTTCATCAGGACTCAGCATGCAAGGCAGAGCCCCTTCTTCCTCTACTGGGCCATTGACGCCACACATGCACCAGTTTATGCCTCAAGACCTTTCTTGGGTACAAGCCATCGAGGGCGGTAAGTCGTAAGCCCCACTGGGGCCTTCAATTTGCTCAGTATCATTGGGTGGGTGCTCTGGAGCATTATGGGAACTCCAAAGCAGTTGGGATGTTTTCTAGTTGTGAAGATTGCTTAGCATACATGAGGCTATTGAACCCCCAGGGGGTTCATTCCCCAGCACCATAAAAGAAAGATATAACTTCCTCCAAACCAGGATCAGTGTTGAAAGGAAAGTTGTAGTGGTTATATAGACTTTGTTTGCAATGAACCATTTGAAAATGAGCTAGGACTTCCCTTTCAGAAGCAGCATCTCCAAAGTGATAAGATTAGTGTTCGGGTCACACTAATGCCCTCAGCTGCCTGATAGAATGTTCTCTTCCCCTGCAGGTATGGTGATGCTGTTCGGGAAATAGATGACAGTGTTGGAAAAATTCTGAGCCTTCTGCAGAACTTGGGCATCAGTAAGAACACATTTGTCTTCTTCACATCTGATAATGGTGCAGCCCTCATTTCTGCTCCCAAAGAAGGCAAGTTCTGTTTCCTGTCCTCTGGCCCCAGGTCAGTGACAAGAAGGCAGCTCACAGACTGAAGCCTCCCAGAATAGAGTACCTAGCAGCAAGGTCTTGACCCCGCTGACTCAGGCCTGGCCTGGGTTCACATGAATTTGAATCTTGAGAGAGAGGAAGGAACAGTCAAGTGTCATGGGGAGGAGATGCTGTCTCCGGATGGTTCTTACCTGAAAGAAGCCAGTTTCCAGCAGCCTCAGGCTAAGGAGACTTTGGCAGCCAGGGCTTTGGCAGAATACCTGGTGGTGCTAGGGTAGAGCTTGTTTGGCTACTACAGAGGTGGCAGGGAAAACATCCTCCCATCTTGGGAGCTGTCCAATTGGTGAACCTGGGACAGTCACCCACAGTGCTGCAAGGGCTCAGCTATTAACATAAGGCTACCTGTCATGGCTGAGGGCACAACAATCTCCTCATCCTGTACTGCCCTTAGGCAATTTGGACTCTGCTACCTCCAGGTGGCTCAGTCAGTCCTACCACCCAGGGTCCTAAGGTAGATGATGGTGGCCATAAAGAAGATGACAGAAATCCCTGGAGTCTGTCAAGTCTATGCTCCAACTTGTTATAAAAAGTGGAAAAATGGGGGGCTGGAGAGATGGCTCAGCAGTTAAGAGTACTGCCTATTCTTCTAAAGGTCCTGAATTCAATTCCCAGCAATCACATGGTATCTCACAACCATCTGTAATAAGATCTGGTGCCCTCTTCTGTCCTGCAGGCATGCATGCAGGCATGCAGACAGGCAGAACACTGTATACATAATAAATAAATAATTTTTTTAAAAAAAAAAGTAGAAAAATACATTCCGGGATAGAAGCAGACTCTGAAGATAGCCAGATAAAGCAGAGAAAAAGTGGTTATCCTACCAACAACTGCTCAGCTTTGAGGAAATCTAGAATAGAATACGATGCCCTGTTGACAAAAACTGGTGCCCTTCACTATAGTGGAAATAATATTAAACCGTGTACAGCATGCAGAAAGTACTGCAGAGTATGCACTCGGCTGTCATTGACCCAGGTAATTCTAAGATTACTAGAATCATTCCAGAACAGACTGATGAAAAATGAACCAGGAAATTCTTTCTTGACTAAAACTTGTCAGAACTTGTTTTTAAAACATTAAAAAAGACCATTAAAATAAAAATCCACATTCCATATCTAGCTTAAGAGAAGTAGAAATAGATTTGGGCAGTGGTGGCACATGTCTTTAATCCCAGCACTGGGGAGGAAGAGGTATGTGGATCTCTGAGTTCGAGTTTAAACCTGGTCTACAGAATGTGTTCTAGAACATCCAGGGCTACACAGAGGAACCTGTCTTGAAAAACAGAGAGAGAGAGAGAAAGAGAGAGAGAGAGAGAGAGAGAGAGAGAGAGAGAGAATAGAATAGAATAGAATAGAATAGAATAGAATAGAATAGAATAGAATAGAATAGAATATGATCATCTTTGGGCCCAGGTATCCTCCCCCAGACAGCTTTCTTGCTCCCTAACTTCTCTTCTTACGGGTAGCCATGCCTGTTTCTTGTCCTTGCCATTAGCCTGGGGAGGGTGAAGAGGGCTGCTGCTGAGGCTTCTGGTTCGAGTTCTGTCCACACTGCTGTGTCTGCTGCATATGAGAAGAAGCAGGATTCCGCGGGAGCCGCAGAACACAATGACTGCCGTTCCCATGGATGAGAGTCCTGTTTGAGTTTTCACTGGGGAAATGCTTTGTTTCTCCATACTCTGTTTCGGGGCCTGAGGTAGAGTCTCAGCAGCTCATGCTATGGCATCTATCCTTGCGGAACAGGCCCACCCAGCTCCAAGACCTTGGATTTCTTCCTTGTGTCTAGGGTAGAGACTTAAAGGGGCTTTGCCCCTACCAGCTTCCCACAGGCTTGTTCAGGAGCTAGTAGCTTCAAAATCAAGCTGTGTGCCCTGCCCCTACAGACTGTGAAGACCAGAGGGGACCTAGGGCAGGCTGCATTTTAAGTGGGACCCTCCCCAGTACATGATGCCTGGGAACATTAGCATCTAAGAACACTAACTCAAAAGCGTCAGTGTCTGGTGCTTGTGATAGGAATGGGCGTCTATGGCTGTTTTCCTGTTTCTGAGCAGTGACTGCAAGTAGAGGCTGGTGGCTCCTAGTAAAGCAAGAGTTTTCTGTTCTCTCTGGAAAGCTGTAGTCAGAGCATCTTAGCTGTCTGGATCAGAGCCACCCAGGTTTCCTGACTTGTGTCTGCAGCCTGACCTCCTCCTCTTGGTTCTTTGTCCCTGTGATGACCTCAGGACTCAAATGTGCCTAACCAGGAGTTCAGAAGTCCAGATTGCTCTCCAGGGGTGCTGTGTGTCCCTGATTCCCCAGATGATCTGAGCCCTGAGATCTTGAAACTGATAGGTGGTGACTCTCCTCAGGTGGCAGCAATGGTCCCTTCCTGTGTGGGAAGCAGACGACATTTGAAGGTGGGATGAGGGAACCAGCGATCGCATGGTGGCCGGGGCACATTGCTGCAGGCCAGGTAAGTCAGCATTGCACACTGAAGCTATATCTCCTGCAAGGTCTCCAGGGCATCAGTATTCAGGAGATAAGGAGGCTTCTGTAGTCAACTAACTGCCCATGTTCTGTGAACTTACCACAAGGGACAGCTGCAGCCCTACGTGGGACCCTGATGTCTTTGTGGCAAAGACCAGAGGTAGGCCTCAAGTGGGCGAGTCTAGCCACCTTCATATCAGGCAGCATACTCACCCCCAAGCTTTGGCCCCAGATAGGCCACCCCTTGTCTAAGAATCCAGTCTGGAACTTGTAGTCGCCACACTAAGTGCTTACTGCTGAGATCACTGTTCCTCAGATGGCCTCTTTCCCCAATGATCTTGAAGACAGTGTCCCTCTGGGTTCCTCAGTTCACCCTGCAGTGGTAGCCTCCATATACTTAGGGGTGGACAGGACAGCTGATTGTAACAAACACCGCTTGCGTGGACAGTACAGGCCAGCCTCCTGGTAGAGGCCAGATGATGCATGTCCTCTATCCCACCTGCTGTGTCACATGCCTATTGCTGTGTGGGATCCTATAGCCAGAGTCCAGGGATTGCAATGCAAATGTCCCTGTGGCTGTCACTCTGCCAGACACAGTCTTTACTCTCCCCTCTAATTGCACAGATTAGGAAGGTGAAGCCCAGAGCAGTCACCTGTCCAGCCTGCCAGCTACAATGGCAGAACTGGCAGCAGCCCCCAGGCATCCAGACGGGACCTCCATTCCTACTCACCATGCTTTGGATAGTCTCCATGTGTCCCCAGCAACAACTGGGACTTATCCTCAGTATCTAGCTTCTAAACCTAGACCTGTTTGAGCCTCTGCACCCCACTCCCTCTGCCTATGGCCTCTTGACATGAGACTCCAGGTCACACTAATCACCAGAGCCCCACAGGTTGGTGGATCTCACAGTTTGTCCAACAGGCCTGCCTGTTGTCTGGCCAGCTCCCGCTGTAGAACAGAGTGTCCATGGCAGTAAACACATCACATGTAGAAGAAACACAGCTACTGGGACACACAGACTGGCCATGACCATCTAACCTGTATGAAAGGGACCTGGCCCACAGCTGCACCTGTGGAAGAGAGGGAACTCTTCATTTCCTAAGGCCATCACTCCCAGCTCTCGTGTAGCTGTGGGAGCACGGAGCCAGTTATCGTTGGGTGAGGAATGGGAGACACAGGAGACACATGAGGTTTTCCCGGGAAGAGACACTTGGTATGGCCTTTGTTCCACCATGAGGAGCCATAACCAACATAGGTTGAACCCCACTCCCACCTGGTACTGGCAAAGCGCAGAGAGGTAACTGGGAAAAGGGAGCTGGAGCTGCCTGCGGGCCCGGGGCGCCTAAGTCCAGTGGGTTCAGAGCATCTGCTTCCACGGCTGTTCCTGCCAGATGCCCTCTGCCAGCAGAGGAGAAACAAGGTTTGACACTGGAGTCAAAGGCCTTGCCTTCCGAGGGGAGAAAGAGCAGTGCTCCAGAGCTCTGGCTTTCTTTTCACCACGCTTCCCACAAGACAACAAACTGGAATGGGTTTCCATGGGATTCACGCTGTGCTCCGTAATAACTTAAAACACCGCTGACATTCATCCGCCCTGCAGCAGACACTTAGCACCTGGCAGCAGGGGTATAATTGCAGCCTTTGATGCAGCTTCATCTGGAAGCGCTCACAGCAACCTCCTGCTGCTGAGTACAGTATCACTAAGAGATCCCCTCCTTTCAATCCCTCAGCCAGGGGACATGCTCCCTTCTCTTATTTGTTTCCAAATGATGGAAGTTTCTGGATCTGCAACCCTATTCCCTCTTCTTTAGAGGGAAATACTTAGAAGGGACCATGAGCCACTCAGAAAGTCCTTGTTGTTCCCCTGCTGCCGTAGGTAGGGGGACTGGCACCTGTAAGAGTGTCCCGTTCCCGAGCAGGCTCTGTAGAAGAGTGTCCGTGTCAGTCAGGGACCTTGTTGCATGGTAAGTCATGTCTGTTAGATTTCAGGGTACAGAGTAATTAGACAAAAGGCAGGAAAGAGTCTGACCAACTTCAACAGATGGGACTTTTATTTTGAGCAGTGAAGGACAGACAGTGAAGGAGGGGTCAAAGGGGCAGGGGCGGGGAGAGCTGGTTGGGATCTTTTATGGGGAGGTTGTGGGGTTTGGGGATGAGGAGTTAGGTACGAGAGTATGTGCAGATTGCAAGGGTCTGTTCTGGAGCTGTTTGTCCAAATAAGGCCATTTTATCTTTAGAGACTGCCCCGCCCCCAAGCTGTCAGGATGCGGGTGACTGGGTTAGGCAATGGCAGTAAGGGGCTGGAGTTTCAACACAGAGGTGGAGGATTTCAGCAAACCTTAGGGGAACAGAGGTTCCTCGGTCAGGTCTGGCTGAGTTTGTTCAAGGTTTATTCACCATTCTCTCCAGCTGGCACAACTGAATGAGGGCCAAGCAGGGAGTGGTAAGGGAAGTGCGGTCTAAACTGAACATGGGCAAGGTCCTGACTGGCTGCTGTGGAGTCCTGTCTTCCTAGAGGACCACAGACACCCTTCTCCGGAGGCTGTGCTCCTTGGACACTGACCTTCCCAAGTCACAGAGGTCAAGAAAAAGACATAAGCACACTCCTTGTCTCCAGGACAGAAGTACTTAGAGGGTATTGTGGGTGGGTGGGCCCATAAAGGAGCTCAGTATTACCAAGGAGGCAGAGCCACAAAAGACCCCCAATCACCTATTGACTGGGGCTGCCCTTGAACACGAGCAGAAAACAAAGTCTCTTCCCACAGGGCTAATGCATCCACAGATGGACAGTAGTGGACCCCGAAGCGCTCCTGGCTCTCTTGGAACTTCTGAGTTGGGAGAGCAGGAGGCAGCACCGTTTGGGTTGGTTCCTCTCCACTGACTTCCTTGCTACTTCTGGGACTTTCCTAGACTTTGTTCTTTTGATGTACAAAGCTCACTGTAGCTTTCAGGTGTCAAGTGTTAAGGTGAACCTTGCCTACTCTCTTGGGACAGCTGAGCCTTGAAAGGTGGGACCCTTGTGGTGCTCTCTGTAAAGAGCCAGGAGGAGGGGGCTGGAGATAGCTCAGCAGTTAAGAGCACTGACTGCTCTTCTAGAAGACCTGGGTTAAGTTCCTGGCACCCACATGGCAGCTCCTAACTGTAACTCCAGCTTCAGGAGATCTGACACCTTCACACAGACATACACGCAGACAAAACATAAATGCACCTGACATAAAAATAAATTATTTAAAGTGAATAAAAAAATAAATTATAAAAAAAGAGTCAAGAGAAGCTGCTAGCATTCTGAGTCTAGCTATGACAGCCGATCCATGTGTAGCGGAAGTGGGGCATGAATGTGACCTGACTCTGGGTCAAATGTGCAGTCTAAATCCCATTTGACACCTACGAGCCCCGTGACTTCACTCAATCCTGGCTATGACCTGTCCCCCACCATGGCATGTGGCAGATATGTACATATTGGAGCATGTGTGCCTACCTGCTGACCCAGAGGAGAATCGGGTGTTCAACACCTCAGCCTCCAGCCCCCAAACACCATCTGCTCAGGATGTCTCAAAGGAGTACTACATCTATTTCAGGTCAGCCACCAGCTGGGAAGCATCATGGACCTCTTTACCACCAGCCTATCCCTTGCAGGCCTAAACCCACCTAGTGACAGGGTAATCGACGGACTTAACCTACTCCCCACCATGCTCCAGGGCCACGTGATGGACAGGTTGGTACTAGACAGCATCCTTTTCAGCCCCCAGTCCTACCTCCCTTGCTTCTACTTTTCATGATGAGGCCCAGAGCTGCTCACAGGCTATAACTTCCTCATTGACTAGCTATGATCCATATGGAAGGAAGAAAGTATAGATGCGGGAACAGAGGGAGACAATATGGTACCTGGGAACCTCGTAGCTAGACCCTTAATATGCGCCTGGGAAGGAAACCAGCCTGGGTCCACTGGGGCACTGGGAAACCCTGACTCTTAGGAAAGCATCTTAAAGTTTGGGAAGGGGGCGTCCCTCCAGCATGTGTAAGCTTCTTCCAGTCCCAGACCCATCTGATTTCCAAGGGGGATTTTATTGTTCACCAGTTCAACTCCTTTGCCAGCCCAACTTCCTAGGGCCTGACTTTGCCTCACCAAAGGCCAAAACAAGCAGGGAATGACTTGGGCCAATCCCTATAGCTTTGTTGGCTACCACACACACACAGTGCCAAGTGGTTCCCCAGGACCTTATGCTTGCTAGAAAAGCATTCTACTGAGCTACACACCCCATCCCTCCTACCTTTTGCCCTATGAGACCTTAGTACATCTTTTAAAGTATTAGCTTATACCTGCATGGGCATCTTACCACTCCCTAGCCAGAGCCCCACACATGAATACATGGACTTGGTCATGATTCTTTCTCTCCTCAACACAACAGGCCCATATTTTATTACCGTGGCAACACACTGATGGCAGTCACTCTTGGCCAGTACAAGGCCCACTTCTGGACTTGGACCAACTCCTGGGAGGAGTTCCGACAGGTACAGGCCCCTGAGTACAAGCCTGGGAGATTCCTGGAGAACCGTGATTTATCCATTTCTAATCTACCACCAGGGGAGGTACCATGGCCCTACAGCCTCCCTTCTTCATGTGGGCCCTACCCATTCTCAATTTTCATGTGCAGGTATCCAGGGGTAAAGGCTAGGCACACTTCTTTCTCTCCTGTGTGATATGGGCTCCCTGGGAAATGCTGGGGTATGAGTGGTATCCTACAGAGAAAGACACTAGGGGACAAATACTCTGGAACATCCTGCCTTCATAGGAGGTCTTCAGAGAGCACAAGGCCCAGGTTCAGGCAGAGCACCCCACTATCTACCATGCCCCTAAGCTCCTTAGCACCCCTTTTCTTGCTCCTTCCAAGACTGGCCGCACCGGTGGTGGCCTGCCCAAGCCCAGATGCTAATGCCCACAAATGGCAGCACCCATATCTACATCTTTGTGCCTGTCCACGGTCTGAAGGTGAAGTGCCACACCACATATAACCTAGGCTCCTGCTGGCCCGTTGGCCCATGCGGGGCTGCCATAGGCCTTATGTCCTGCAAGCTACTGGTCCCACCTCCTCCATCCCCTCAGGCTTTGCAAGGTCTTTAAACACATAAAAACCTACTAATGTGCCCTAATAGGGAAGACATTTACTTAATGAAAAACCCAAATACTAGAACATTCTGAAACAACTAGGAAGCAAACTACAAATGTCTCAACTCAGGAGGCTCCAGCTATGCAGGGCTTTGGGCTGGGCAGGATGCCAGGCTTAGCTGGTCAAGTAAACAGCATATACCCAGGTGGACATGTGGCCATAACTAAAAGGCACGACTCCCCAGTGCCTTGTTTAGAAGTTTGGAATAGCCTAGGATAGTGTCCAAAACCCATGTTTCGTCCATCCCCTTTCTGACCCATACTGCCTCAGGGCCGTCCTAAACATTGGCCTGTCGTGCCGTCAACACTGTGTTCTAGTCAAGGTTTCTGTTGCTGTGATGAGACACCACAACCAAAAAGCAAATTGGAAGAAAAAGGTTTATTTGGGCGACATTTCCTCATTGTAGTCTTTTTTTGAAGGAAGTCAGGACAGGAATCAAACAGGGCCCTGAGGCAAGAGCTGGTGCAGAGGTTATTGCTTACTGGCTTGTTCGCTATGACTTGCTTTCTGTCTGTTTGCTTGCTTTTTGAGAAAGAACCTATAACCACCAGCCCAGGGTTTGCACCACCACAATGTGCTGGGCCCTCCCCCATTAATCACTAAGAAAATGCCCTACAGGTTTGCCTACAGCCCATCTTTTGGAAGCATTTTCTCAACTGAGATTCCCTCCTCTCAGATGACTTTTAGCTTGTGTCAAGCTGACAAAACTGTCCAGCACGGGCAGCCAGTACCCTAGAGAAGCCTGTTTCCTGGGTGCTCGTGGGTGCTCCTGGTCCCTGTAACCCAGAAGTGCCTTTGGAATTCCTCAAGGGATCTGAGGTTGCAGTGACTAGAACCTGAGGGTTGTCACACATGCCCTGGTGCTCTCCTCAGGGTCTTTTCTGGGATACTCATTGTTGACTCCTCAAGAATCTGGGTAGTTTAAAAGTCAGAAGGAAGATGGGCTGTGTGGTGGTGGCGCACACCTTTAATCCCAGCACTCGGGTGGCAGAGGCAGGTGGATCTCTGTGAGTTCGAGGCCAGCCTGGTCTACAAGAGCTAGTTCCAGGTTAGGCTCCAAAATTACAGAGAAACCCTGTCTTGAAAAACCTAAAATAATAAATAAATAAAAGTCAGAAGGAAGAAATTCCCTCTCATGCCTAAGTGGATCTCTATCTGGACCCCTGCAGGGCCACATGGGGATAAAGTAGCTGCTCTGTCCCTTTGGTCTCCTTAAGGCAGAGTCCAGAGAAACCCATCTTTGCTTCTGTCAGACTAGCCCCATCCAAGAAGGCAGGCATACAGCAAATCCTGTCTGAAAGGTTCTCCAGACAGAATTCATATCTACATGGCATGGTGAGTGTGAGTTGGTCCTGATTAGAACATGTTTTCACAAGGGGCTAGAGGATGTTAGGGAAAGCCACAGTGCCACCAACAATTTCTTACTGTGTTCCAGCAAGAGGACTGAGACTCATACCCCACCTCCTTGGCTGCCAAAGGAACTGCTGCTTCCATGTTCTGAGTCTCCTATGAGGGGGCCTGTGTTGACATAGGTTTTCATAGCTTCTAGCTTCTGAGACTATGTGACATTTGAAATGTGCATTGCCTTTGCTATTAACAGAACCTCTCCCCCCTGTGGGAAAATGCTTCCAAAGAGCCAAGGTCTCAGGGGCTCATCTTTCATGGTTCAGAGTTAGATAGTTGAAAGTTGTTCTCTTGCTGGAATCCAGTCCAGAGAAAATGATCCTAGGGCCTGGATAGCACAGCCTAGGCCATAGCTCCTAGCCTACTCCAGTCACGTCAGGAGACCAGGGCCCATCAATCCCACCCTCTTAATCTTAAATTGAGAGGCCCATGTTACATAGAGACCCGAGGTCTATACAGTGGGTCACCCGTTAAAGGTTACAGCTAGGCCCAGAAGAGCCAGCATTGGTCTTGGGTTTACCTGATGGACCTCACGGCCTGTGTCACTAACATAGGCCCCGGTTTCTTGGCCTTTTGTCACCTGCATAGTTTTGCGGGTCAGCCTGTGGAAGACTCATGCTGTCACAAGCTCCTCTGCACCCTATACACCGTGCTCTTATTTCAGGTGCTAGAATCCCACGAAGGACAAATTCACGCCATCTGAGCTGCCCCTGGGACACAAGTCCACAGGCAGGACCTCGATGCAGCGCCAAGTAGACTCCACCCTTCCTCGCTACCCAGTGCTAGAAACGAGCCAGGCCTGGTGGGAAGTGAGGAGAACATACAGAGATGGACAAGGGTGCTAGACCCATTTGGAGCAGGGCTTTTTTGCTTTGATTTGGTTGAACTCACAGAGACCAGCCTCCCAAGTGCTGGGATTAAAGGCGTGCACCACTACTTCCCCAGCTCTTTTTTTTTCTTTTTTTTTTTTATTAGCTGAATTTTTTAATTTAAACTGCAACCGTCCTGAGTTCCCATGATCTGGTTTAGAACTGAAACCCAGCTAGAGGGGGAGGGTTGTTTTTAAAGTCAAAGGGTTACAATCTGCCCCTGCTAACGTGAGTTTCTGCAGGTGTGAGAACAGCCCAGGTCTTTTGCATTCATTCCTGGAATTCCTGGCATTGTCTTAACAGTCTCAGGTTGCTCAGTGGACTAGCTTCAGACCTCAGGTGCTACAATACCTGAACTTTCACCATCCCGGGAGAATGAATCATAGGGTTTGTGTCCCTCACCACCTCTGAAAATCAGTGTTTGATTTCCAGCATCCTGCCTGTGCCGTCCATCTGTGCCTCTAGAGCCAGACCAGAGTCCAGCTCTGTGGGGGCGATAAAGACTAATGTACAGCAGGCAGACTTCCCTGCCAGTGCCCCAGGGTGAGGCGCTCAGACAACGCAGCTGTAGGAGAGCTCTAGACCAATTAGCGGGATCTTAATTAAATAGCTTATTTGATTTGCATCCAAATTATAATTTATGTGCTCCATCTAGACTTGGGTACTTCTCCTCCACTGTTTAACATTTTCATGCTAACAGCGGTGGCTCCCTGCTGTGCAGTGTTTGTTTGTCCCCTGGCAGGGCGTTCCAGGAGGTCCAGATTCTGGAGCCCACTTCCAGCCTCCAACTTGTCTCTGCTGCCTAGTGCACATGGAACATCATAGTCTATGACCTCCCTGCTTTAAAAACTGTCCATTGTACCACCATCACAGGGGTTTATATAACTGTCCACTGTAATACCATCACAGGGGTTTATATAAAGGTGTTAGAGACATTTGTCTCTCACTGACAATATGGCTGGCACTAGGGTCCCTGAGTCATGGTACTTAGAGTAAGCTCCTGCCTCACAGTTCTGTCTGGGAATGTTGGAGGCTTGATTTGGGACATTCCCCATTCCCCATCAATGCACCCTAAAGAGTAGCCAGAGAGATCTGGGAAGGAAGGTCAAAAGCAAAAGACAAGCTTGCATACAGGAACCACTGTAGTGGAACCAAGCTGTAACTAGGAGAGATAGCTTCATCAGCCAAGTTATCCCACAAGAAGCTATAGGGGTTGGCTCCATGCTGCATACATAAGTACTTACTCAACCTTCTCTCTGTACTTCTGAATGCAAAAATCAGAGTTATTTGTAGTCTGTGCTCTTCTCTTGAGTCTCTTGGTCACAGCTGTTTGTAGCCTTCAGCTTCCATGTTCAGCTCTGGGTCTCTCAGCTTTCAAGCAAAAGGTCCTTCTTCCTCTCTGGTCTAGTGACTCATCCTGACTCATCCCCTTCTGAGAGGTTCACTGTTCCCCTGGCCACACACTGAGAGTTTTTTTATTTTATGTACATTGGTGTATTGCCTGCATGCATGTCTGTGTGAGAGTGTCAGATCCCCTAGAACTGGAATTTACAGATAGTCGGTGAGCTGCCATGTGGGTGCAGGGAATTGAACCTGGATCCTCTAGAAGAGTAGCTCTTAATTGCTGAGCCATCTCTCCAACCCCACACTGAGAACTTTATGGCATTCTCAGGAGTACTCCTCTGAGCCAGTGGTCAAAGTCAAGATGTGGAACTGCCCAGACTGTTTCATTTTGTTTTGAGACTCTCATGTAGCCCAGGCTGACTTCAAACTCATCATATTCCTACTTCTACTTCCTATCCAGGCTAACTGCCTAGACTACTGTAAAGAGCTTTTTCCCATAAAAGGGTACAGGAAAACTTGGGCAGACACCCAGAGTGAGCTGCTGAGCAGCTGTCAGCCTGAAGTCTTTCCCTTCAACCAGGTGGCCATACTGTACCCAACTCATGTGCATCAATGAACACTGCGGCACTGGGTGTGAAGGATGTGTGAGGAACGGGACCAGCAGGGCATCTCTTGCAGCATGGGCTCTGATCTAGGATGCTCACTTGGTCTCTATGCCTCTCATTGCAGGGCATTGACTTCTGCCCTGGTCAGAACATCTCAGGAGTCACAACCCATACCCAGGAAGAACACACGGAGCTACCCCTGATCTTCCACCTAGGACGTGACCCAGGGGAGAGATTCCCACTCAGGTGAGGCAGGGGCAGGGTCTCCATACTCCAGAGGAGACACTGGCCAGACAGGCCAAAGGTGAGAACCACATCTGGTGGTCTGTCTTCCATGGAGTTACTCCTCTGGTCTCAGAGGAGTATGTATGCCTTTGTAAGGACATGAACCACACAGAGGGATGGAGCCAGAACCCCAGGCGCTCATCTAAAGCTGATGTAGAACTTACCAATTCCCAGAAAGCTACATTTCCACCTTGGGCCATAGCTGCTTTGCTCTCTGGGAGCTCCCTTCTTGCTTTCCTTTCCTGGTTGCTTCTCATCCCTGCCCCTTGTAGGTTCAGTCCACTGACAGCCTGCAGCAGTGGCTCCTATACTCTTAGTTACCTTCAGGGATGGCCAAGGGCAGGAGTGAGGGATCCAGGCTTAGGATACATCTATCTGCACTGAATAGCCCTCAGACTGACAGGAGGGAAAGACTCAGAGTGAGGATGTTCAGGGACATGATCCTAGATTCTGGAGTAAGGTGCTTCAGGTGATGGCCAGCATCCTGGAGCTGAGGGTTTCTAGTGGTCCCCACTGGCTACCCACAGTGACCAGTTCTGGTGAGCTAAATGGCCACTGCAGGGTTCAAGGACACTGCTCCCACCTTCCCCTATTCTCAGCGAGATTTGAACGTCACTGTGCACACAATCAGTGACTGGCATCACATCCACCAAAATCCCACATCTACTAAGAATTCCGAAGCGACTCTGGCCCAATTCACTCTGGTTCTCCCCGGGAGGCTAGTGGCTCTCTTAACAGGATGGTAGGTGCCTAGGGTCCTGGAATACAAGTCCTGTGTCCTATAGCACTCCTGACAGATTGGAAGGCACAGCCTTCTCGGTGACAGGCTAAGACTTGGTCATAGATTATAAAACAGAGGACTTAAGACACCAGGAAGGTCCCTAAGGCTGCTCCTACATCCTGTGTGAGTAGCTGTCTGTCTCCAGCACCTCAGAAGGCAACCTTTTGGAAATAGGGTCTTGTAGACATTGTTAAGGTCAAGATGACAATGCAGTCATCCTGGATAGTGGTGGGGCATTATTCTGAGAGAAAGGTGCCGCTCAGGTTCTGTAGAGGGAGTGTGGTCTTCTGCAGTGCCCCAACTTCAACCCTCTGGCTTCTAAACTGCCACTGTGGGGAGCCTCCTTTCCCTTTCTTCAGGCAGAAGCTGGTATTTCCTCAAGACCCACTAGCACATAAATGTCATAAACCGTGGGAGGTCTGTTGATAAGGGATGGAGGGTTGCAGGGTTGATTGGCTGTCCTATAAGATAAGTGCCTATGTAATCAACCACCACTGGCCTCATGCCCTCAGGATCAACCCAAAGTTCACTGTGTCTTTTAGTGATCTCCCTGCTTCATTTACCCACATCTAGCTTGTGCTGAGCAGTTTAGGTCCTTGGGGAATCTCTCATCCTGAGATGCCTCTTCCCCAGGGCATAACTGCACCCCAGGAGCCTAAGTCCTCTTTCTAGGAGGTTGCTGTACTGGAAGTGGCCCTACTATCATCAGAGATGGCCCTCTTTACTCCGCTGTGGGCATATCAGTGGTGTGTGTTGTGTGTTGTACGTCACACAGTGAATGTTCAATGGTTTGCTTCATACTCAGCTAAAGGTTCCCTGACAGTCCAGCAGATGGCTGTGAGGTTTTTCAAGACAGGGTTCCTCTGTGTAGCTTGGGAGCTTGTCCTGGAACTAGCTCTGTAGACCAGGCTGGCCTCGAACTCACAGAGATCTGCCTGCCTCTGCCTCCCGAGTGCTGGGGTTAAAGGCGTGTAACCGGCTCCATAAACCTTAGTGAAAAATGAATCAAATGCTGGGGACCTATGCTGGAACTTTAGGGCTATATGTGTTTTTTCTCCATCTGTACCTGACCCCTTCTCAACATAAAACAGTTCCTTCTAAGGAAAAATCATGTGTCATATGTGTACATGTTTCAAAATAGTACTCACTGTGTGGCAGTTCTTGTGGAGAGGCCCCGTTTTCAGGATCCAGTCTCCGACCCACACCACTGGGTTCTCATCACACACAGGTCATGTTGGCAGTAACAGAGGAGGACTCGCTGCCATGGCTCAGCTTCCTAGGCCCTCATTTCCCTCCCCTTGTGGAGTCTGACAACAGGAGAGCAGCTCACAGTACAGACAGCTGTCCAGGGAGGCTCATGGGTCACCACGTGGGAGCCCATAGCTCACTCTGACTTCAGACTGCCACCCTTGCTCTTCCCACCTCTAGAGACCAACTCGAGGTCTCAGGCTTTCCAGACTAGACTACTTCATGTCCTAGAATCTCTGTGCACCTCCTGAGCTGCCTGACAGGAGCAGATTGACCTTGGACACAATAGCCTTGTAACCAGAGCTGCCTTCTCTCCAGCTTTGCCAGTGATGAATATCAGGATGCCCTCAGCAGGATCACCCCAGTTGTCCAGCAGCACCAGATGTCCTTGGTCCCTGGACAGCCCCAGCTCAATGTGTGTAACCAGGCTGTCATGGTGAGTAGTCCTTGCATGCATGCATGCCAGGACTTGCCTGGGCTTGACTACATGTGCTTGTCCCATGCCATGAGGACACCTTGGCTCCCTGTACACATGCAGCTCAGCCTGGCAAGGTGTATTAAAACAGCAAAATGGAAATCATTGTTCCGGTCAGTATGGGAGGGAAATACACAATATCCCACTACTGCTGAGGACTGTTGGAGGGTGGGTAACCTTGTTCAGGTCTGGGCACAGCCTCTTGTTGACAGAGGTTTCTGTCCCATCCAGTTCTGCAGCTGTTCAGTCCCAAAAAACACACCGAGGTCTACATTAATCCTAAACTTGTTGGCCTATTAGCTCAGGCTTCTTATTAACTCTTTTTTTAATTCTAAAACTGATTGGCACAGTAGCTCAGGCTTCTTATTAATTAATTCTTATAACTTAAACTAGCCCATTATTCTTGTCTATGTTAGCCATGTGGCTTGGTACCTTTTTCAGCAGGCAGTCAAATCTTGTTTCTTCTGCATCTGGGTCACGACTGTAGACTCAAATTTCCTTCTTCCCAGAATTCTTGTTGTCCCGCCTCTACTTTTTGCCTGATTGCTGTCGCCCCACCTATACTTCCTGCTTGGCTACTGGCCAGGCATTTTATTAAAAATAATATAAGTGACAGGATAAAAGACCATTCATTTTCCCACAGCACTCCCCCCTTTTTTTAAACAAGGATTCTGAATCTAATACCCTTTGTTTAGCTTTCTTTCTGACCATTATCCATAACAACTTGTAACCAACACTCTAAACAAGAAAAACATCCATAATCCATTTTTTGGGAATGTGGGAATAGTTTTCTATTCTGCTGATTGGGGGTGCTGATAATCTTATGGGGACCTAAAGAAAATGTTGAATTATGGTCAAGTCCTAACTGGAATATTCTGTGAGGCTTGATCATCTCAGCCAGCAGTCTTGAGGCTATTCTGGATGTAGAACTCAGATGAAACTCCAACAGAGGTCTTTTGAAATATTGGAGCATCTGGGTCATCTGCTCCTATTGGAGACTTTTCAGGGGGTCTTCCTTAATCAAACCTGATTTTCCTTAACCCAGAATAAATCTACAGCCTCTCATTTCCTGTGGAAACAAAAGCAAAATCTCTTCTCCAAAGTAACATGTCTTTTGACTTAAATTTTGAAGTCAAAGCATTTTCAAAATATATATGTTGTATTAATCCAGCAGCAATTGTAATCAAATGTCTTTTAGCAGCTGTTGTTCCTTCCTCAGCCATCAAACCATTCAAAGACAACAGAGTATCATACAGTATCCAGACTCTCTGTGTATTTTCATCTTTATGTGGCTTTATTTTAAACTCAATTTTTTTAATTTTATTTTTAATTTTTGGTTTTTTGAGACTAGCTTTCTCTGTGTATCTTTGACTGTCCTGGGACTCACTATGTAGACCAGGTTGTCCTTGAACTCACAGAGATTCACCTGCCTCTGCCTCCAAGTGTTGGGATTAAAGGTGTGCTCTACCACACCCAACTACTCTCTTTTTTATTTTAAGGACTTTATCCTTTATCTTTTCTCTCCCAAGCCTACATATATTTTTAAACACACTCTAAACCGTTTAGAGTTTTTTTTTTACCTGAATATATCTTTACTGTGTATCTCTCTTTTTCTGACCACATGAGACTTTATTTTGCTAAGTCATATGGCTAGGATTAAAGCCGTGGCTTTGACAACTGGATCAACCCCATTCCATAGCTTTATGAGAGTCTAGCTTCATGGCAGAGGTACTGGCAGGAGCCATGTTTATTGCCACAATTCTGTGGAGTTGCAATGTCCCTGCTACCACCAAGAAGCATGCTGTCGGCTATTCATAAACACCATTTAAGTGTTTTGTGGCGGGGCCTCTTAAAAGAGCTGCAAGGTTTTTGCAGCTAAAGCTGAGTCAGGAAGCCTCTCTTAAATGAGACACATTTACCTCTAGCAAACAGAGCCCACTCGAGAAAATGCTGTTACCAAGAAGCCGTGTTTAACTGTTCTTTTTGTGTCTAGAATTCCTTCTAGAACTCTCTTGGGTTTTAAGTGGATTTAGTTATCACGTTGGCCCCAGCCTTCTCTGAGGGTCTCACTGGGACCTACTTCTTCACTGCGTTCACAGACTGGTGCCTGTGTTGCTGGCTATTGTTAAATTCCTTCCCAGGGGAGATGGAAACATCTGCCCCTCCTCCTAAAGTCCCAGTAACAAACGGAGGCACATCCCACCAGTGTTTACTCTGGGGAACCAAAGAATGTATAGGCTTTCTCATAGGACCGTGGATGAAGAGTTACAGGCAGGAACATGGGAGAGGAGGGGGTCACTTAAAGCAGCCATGCTGTAAAGTCTGTAGCCAGCAAGGATGACTCCCCCATTGTTATGTCCATAGAGCTCCCTCCCTATACTCTAGCCCCTCCCCAAGCCCCCAAGTCTGCCTGCAATTAGGGCAGAATTGCATGCAACTGACTAGGAGGAGTGGCTGGATAATCAGGTGAGAGTCCCAAGATTCTCCTGATAGAACTTTGTGTGTGTGTGTGTGTGTGTGTGTGTGTGTGTGTGTGTGTGTGTGTGTATTTATTATGTATACAGTGTTCTGCTTGCATGTATGCCTGCAAGCCAAATCTCATTATAGATGAGTGTGAGCCACCATGCCGTTGCTGAGAATTGAACTCATCTGGTAGTCCTTAAGGAAAGACAAAAAAAAAGTCGTAAGCAAGCCCAACTAAACTCCTGAAGATGGCAGGAGTTTGGCTCAGTAGATAGTCCCCACCATACTAGTGTTCTGACCTCTAAATGACAGTGGTAGATCAGGAAGTTTCTCAGGCCTACCAGAGTTCTGGGGCCTCAAGAGCTCAAGTGTCCTCACAGTGGGGCATTGCCGTTCTTACCCAGTCTGCAGCTGCTCTTTAGTAGTCCAGTGAGTGGCCTCAGCGGAGAATATGGTCTTTTCCTAATAAGTTGCTGTGATACACTCTAGGGTTTTGATCAAGTCCATTTACTCTGCCAGTCAAGTAATTAAAAGGCCGGAGAAATCTAGAGTGCAGCAGGTAGCAGCAGAGCCGTTTCAAGCACACACAGAATCAGACGCTGAAGAAAGGCATTTATTGGGGGTAAAGAAACACACATGTAACAGACACACAGAAAAACAACTCCTCTGTGAAGCAGAAAAATACAGTCTCTTCCTAGGGCTGAGCTTTTACAGCCTCTGAAAAGTTTTCCTCCCCTAATTTAGGGTTGGTCAGTTGAAGAAAGCTAGGATGTGTGACTGGCCCAGAACTGATGTGTGACATGTCCTGAGCAGGCCTTGAACTGGTTGAGCCAATCCAAAAGCAGGGGGCCTGCTGGTGGGAGACTGCCAGGCTTTTGTGAAGAGTCAGGAGGGTGAGGAAGAAGCTGGCCATCTTGGAAATTCATCATCTATATTACCTAGGCATAGCCCCTGTGTCTGTCTGTCTAGCTAACAGGGAGTCTGTCTAACTCCTAGTCTCCCCGTGGCATAGCAACCTCTTTTTCCTGACTCCCCCACTTGGAAGCTGTCTGAGATGCAGGCAGTTGGGTGCAGTTCCACCCCGAGGCTTCCCTCACTGGGCCTCACTTTCCTTGCTACTTGCTTTCTGGTTGCAGCCCCACACGCCACCCCCTTGCCAGCCAGATCCAGAGCTGCTGCTTGAAGAAGGTCCTGGGGCTCCACATTCCTGGGATTCTGGAAGGCATGGAGATGGCTGTGTCTGCGCACCACGGTCAAGTGGGTGGGTGAGGCGGGAGGTCCACATCTTGTAACTGTGCCCAGATTGAATAACTGCAGTTCATTTTCTTGAATTTCATTTTCTAGAATTGGGCACCTCCAGGCTGTGAAAAATTAGGAAAGTGTCTGACACCTCCTGAGTCTGTCCCTGAGAAGTGCTCCTGGCCCCATTAGCCAAGATCGGAATCTTCAACCAGCCCTGCAAGTGCCTAGAAAGCTTGGCCTTGGGCGAAAGAGACCAGCTGTCCTCTGCCCACCCACCACTGGCCGGCTGGCCTCTGCAGCCGGTAGCAAGGGTCCAAGACTGCACATACTGGAGACCTGATCCTGGGGTCTGCTCCCTAGCACTGTGGGCCATCTTCCCAGCTGGCTATTGAAAAAGAAGTTCTTAGTGCCCTGCTGGCCTTGACCATGACCCAGTGCTGCAGCCCAGGGTCTGAAGCTCTGTCACTTTGTCTTCTCACTGTTGCTGCGTATATTTCAACCTTGGTGTCATCGACAAAGGTGAAGATTTCAGTGCTGTGCCAAGGAGCCAACATCTACCTGGGCATCAGTCCTCACCCCCTGTCAACTCCCTGGAGTTACCCTTCCTCTTTTCCCACTGGCTGCAAACAAGAGACAAAGATAGCTCATTGTCTGGCCCAAGGTGAGGTCAGTCACTGCCCCCAAGAGACAGGAAGATGACATCCTAAATTTCTGGCTCGGCTCAGCACACTATGGGACCACTTCTGCTGTACCTGCCTCCTGTCATGTGCAGGCTATAAGATATAATCTCTAAACCCCTTCCCTGAAGGCTCCTGGGAGTTGTCCATCCTGAACAAGTTCTCACATCTGTGCAATGACTGTAGTGGCGAAGCTGAATTGTGAAGGTTGGAAAATGAGAATGAAGAGAGACTGAGAGAATAAATTCTCTTATAATAAATTATTCTGTTCCAAGAATAAAGGAACAGGAGATGTGTTAGCTGTTATCTGCTTTTCTTTCTTTCTTTCTCTCTCTCTCTTTTTTTTTAGACAGGATTTCTCTATGTAGCCCTTGCTGTCATAGAACTCACTCTGTAGACCAGGCTGGCCTCGAACTCAGAAATCCTCCTGTAGCTGCCTCCTGAATGCTGAGATTAAATGTATATGCCATCATGCCCACCTATCCTGGTATTTGGAATAGAGATAATAGGAGACATTGTACATTAGACGGCCATGTGCCTGCTGTATGAACTTTTCCTGGAAAGATACAAATAGCTGTATAGATAGAATGCCAATGACAGACCAAAGGAGCCATTGGGTCCAATGAGCTCATTGATTACAGGAGCATGGATGACCCCAAAGCAACTCCATTACCCTAACTGAAAGTCTCAATCTAGCATGGATGACAACTTCCCCTTCAGTTAATCTTCCACTGTGTGTGTACACGTGTACTCTACCACCTCCAGAGACCACCGCAGATGGAAGAATTGCAGCAGGCAGGGAGGTGGGAGTGAGGAAGAGAAGAGTTGGGATCTATTAGACCCTCCTTACACCCTCTCCTTTGACAGAACATAGACCCAATCTGAAAGATTTCTTTTGAGTAATAACCGCATTGAGGATGATATTGATAACTCAGAGGACAGTCTTCCAATCACTACCTGTAGGCCCAGGTACTATGCTGGGCAGGTAGATCCCAGTCTTCTGTCCAGATTTTCTGGTCCCCTCCCCAAAGCGAAAAGGATACATCTTGCTGCAGAAGCACATGAGGGTCTGTGGCCCCACCCCCACCCCGAAGTGCTACCCTGCTTTTTCTCCTCCACTCCAGCCAGGCCAAGCATAATGCACTTGCACCTCTGGACCTGAAGCTATCTGCCAGCTCCCTTCCAGGATAATTCCGGGAAAGCAGGGTTGGGTCTCAGTCCCCTCGCACTGCGCGCTGGGAGTGCAGTACAGTCCAGGTCCAGAAGGCGGGCCCTGGGAAAAGCGGGATTGAATAGGCAGGCGTGCGGGAGCCAGAACCCAGAACTCAAAAGGGTACCAAAGCTCGTATCCTTTTTCCACCCAGAAATAACCCCAGGCTTTCAATTTGATGTCACCTAGGTTTCGAGCAAATGTTCTACTTCCTGCCAGAGGTCACCCTCCCACCCCCGTCTCCCAGAGGCCCCGCCCCCTCACTTGCTGACCCTCGTGCTGGACCACTCCCTAAGGACGCCACGCCCAGAAGCCACGCCCACCGAGGACGTCCCAGCCTTGTTCCCGGACAGGCGTGACTCCAGCCTGCCTTCACTCGCTCTGCCTTTCTCTCCTGCACGCGGCTATGGCGGAACCTGAATTGCAGCTGGTGGCGCGACGCATCCGCAGTTTCCCCGACTTCCCCATCCCCGGCGTGCTGTTCAGGTGAGGTCACGAGCCCGCGAGGCGTTGGCGCCCTGCGCTCGGCTCCCGGCGCAGGCGCGTGGGCAGTCGTGGGGGGATCTTGCTGGGCCTCCGCCCCCACTTCGCCTACCTTGTTCCTAGAGATATCTCGCCCCTCCTGAAAGACCCCGACTCCTTCCGAGCTTCCATCCACCTCCTGGCCAGTCACCTTAAGTCTACGCATGGCGGCAAGATCGACTACATCGCAGGCGAGTGGCCAGGCTAGGCCGTGCTGGTCCCCCACTGTCCAAGCTTCCCTCCGTCTTCCCTCCACCCCTCTTTCTTCAACCCCTGACCCTCCTTTAGCACTCTGTTCTTACCTGCCTTAAAATCTTGTTGACCCTGGATGATTACTGCGTCTCCCACCCCTGCTAGGTCCTCTGACCTCAGTCCTCAGTGTCTGTTTCTATTAGAGATGGACTCTGCTCTGTCCCTGTTCAGGACCAGACCTTCCTCTTTTAGGACGCGAGGTTGAGCAGCCTGACAGCAGGACTGTAAGGAGCATTTGTGTGCTTTGAGAACGTTGAAGAAGGCCTTGAAACCTCCAAATGGGCAGCCTTGCTAGGGGTCGTCACTTGCTAGCTCATAGGATGAGCTAGATGCTAAAAATGCCTAGCCTTGCAACAGATGGGGGCGTGCCTGGACAGGCTTAGAGTCTTGGTAGCCTCAGGGACTGCTTATCCCTCAGGACTATACCGGAGTATCTCTCCTACACAGTCTTGTGCTAAACACTTGTTGTGTACCGGGCTCCATGCTTGGGCTTCAGAAACACCCTAGGATCGCTGAATGTCCACCAGGGGAGTCAGACCTATCCCAGATGGTGAGAACTCCTGACAAGTACTCAGAGATCATAGTGCAACAGTACTCAGGCTTCCCCGGAGGTGACCCATCTTGGACCCTGTACTACAGATAAAGTGCTCCTGGGTCGATGCTGTATTTGAGAGGTGGCAAACGGGGTGGTGGCGGTACACGCCTTTAATCCCAGCAGGCAGATCTCTGAGTTCAAGGCGAGCCTGATCTACAGAGCCAAGTTCCAGGACAGGCTCCAAAGCTACAGAAGAACCCTGTCTCAAAAAAAGAAAGAAAAAAAAAAAAAGAGGTGGCAAAAGCATAGGTGTCGCTGAGCTAGCCTGAGCTATACAGAAGGCAGATAACACCCCCAAGGCTAAGAAGCTACCCAGCACCCATCAGCGCCTTCTAGCTATAGCTAGTAAGACCTAGTATTCCTGGCCAGTACTGTTCTCTCAATTCTAGGTCTCTTGGAACCCCATACCACTCAGCTCCAACAACACTCCTCTCTCGCCCTAACAGGCCTGGACTCCAGGGGCTTCCTGTTTGGCCCCTCCCTAGCTCAGGAGCTGGGCCTGGGCTGTGTGCTCATCCGGAAGCGTGGGAAACTGCCGGGCCCCACAGTGTCAGCCTCCTATGCCCTGGAGTATGGCAAGGTAGGTGGGTAGCTGTCTAGGAGTCAATGTGGGCAAGTTTGAAACCTGGTTTATACCACCAGGAAACATGGCTAGGGGTGGTGGTCACTTGTTAACTCCTAGACTCTATTTCTTGTCTGCAGGCTGAGCTGGAAATCCAGAAAGACGCCTTAGAACCTGGGCAGAGGGTGGTTGTTGTAGACGATCTCCTGGCCACTGGAGGTGAGAGCCACCGGTTTCAAAGGGACAAGCTCTGTCCAGGATGCTGACTCAGCAAAGAGCCTTACTACCTTCTCTTCCCTTGTCCCTTCACCCCAGGAACCATGCGAGCTGCCTGTGAACTGCTGGGCCAGCTACGGGCTGAGGTGGTGGAGTGTGTGAGCCTGGTGGAACTGACTTCGCTGAAGGGCAGAGAGAAGCTAGGGCCAGTGCCATTCTTCTCTCTCCTCCAATATGAGTGACAGATGGTGGAATAGTTGCCGCACCCCTGCCCCCAGCACCTATGGCCGGACAATGGCCCAGGACTGTGGCTCAGCCTCGCCACCTAAGTGACCTTCGTGAGCCACCAGCTGCCCTTCCTGTGACTGTTCACTTTGCTGGTCAGCTGGTCACCATGCTGAGTCCTAGAGCAGAGCTACTGCAGGCTACAACACAGCAAAATTAATAAACAGTCTGGTACATATGGTTCTTCCTGTCATCTTGCTGCACAGATGGATCACATTCCACAGCTGCCTGGCAACTCCAGCCCAGTCCAAGGCAGAGGGACAATACCTGCTCTAATCCCAGGCAATCTGTAGTAGGAACGGACACTGCCACAGAAACGGAAATTGGAAGTCTCTGTATCCTCCCACCCCCAGCAAAGGGTGACTGGGGGGCGGGGGGCAGGTGGTGGCTGTCACTTTGTGGACCTCCTCAAAACAGGTGGAAACCAGCTCTATATAGAAGCTACAGCCTCTGGAAAGTTTTCTGGGCTTTTAGGACCAAAATGGAGAGAGTGGACCAAGGACATAGTCCAGTCACTACCTATTTAAAATCCTATTTTGAGGCCAGGTGGTGGTGGCGCCCACCTTTAATCCCAGCACTTGGGAGGTGGAGGCAGGTGGATCTCTGTGAGTTCCATGACAGAGGTGTTACACAGAGAAACCCTGTCTATTCTGTTGAGCACCAATACCAGGTTTGTGGGTGTGCTGGGGTGACAGAACTAGCCTTGCGTGTGCTAGGCAGGCACTCTGCCACTGATCACCCCCAGAAGATTGTTCTCACCCAGATTTTTACTAGCCTGGCCTTGCTAGTCACAGAAGAAAACATTGCACAACAGTGGGCATCATTTAAAGGTATTTTATGGTGACCTGTTTAGTTTGATCTTGATAGTACTTTTATTTAAATATTACATGACCATAAGTCACATCCAAGGCTATAGGTATAGAAGGTTAAAAAAAAAAACCCAATCTTCATTTTCATAAAAATTTTGGCCTCAAAACCTATAAAATTATTTTTATTATATACAGAAGGCCCAATTTCACTCTGCCATTCAAAGCTCAACTGTCCTTGTGAAATCTGGCCAAAGTCCAGGTTTTCCGTGTGGGTCTTAAGGCTCTAAGCAAGACAGCAGCTTCCATGAGCACAGAGGAGCAGGCTAGGCTGGCCTAGGGCTCCCATCTGGACCGACAGTACCTGAACTAGCCGCGTAGTTTGTGGGATGGACAGACATCCAACATCCTCTGTTCTCACAGCCTACTTCCCCAGCAACTACAAAGCTGGCTCTGGGGTACCCCAAAGCCGCTGTATGAAATCCATGGGCACAAGCGCTGCCCATTCAGGGGGTATGCCCGTGACACGGGGAGGGGAGCTCCAGTGCGTTGTTCTGATCAAGAGAACAGACCGTCAGGCGAAGAACTCAGTCACAGCCCTTCAGTGTGGACACGGTGGGTCAGTCTCGCAGTAAGGCCAGCTAGGTCAGCAGCTTTGTCCAGCTTGATGTAAGTGTCCGTGCGAATGCGATGCAGGCTGAGCCAGTCTGGCAGCAACTCGGCTAGGAGCAGCACGTGCTTCTCCATCTCCCCTGCAGAGTGCATTTGAGTTGAAGCACATGATCTGGATGACTTGCTCAGCTCACTTACCCAACCTGGTACCTTACACCCCTCAGCATAACCTTTCTCAAAGGCTTAGCCACTGCTGTGTGCAGTGGATCCAAGCAGAGGCCTGGGGGACCCTGGGCACTGCTCTCAAGCACCAGGGGAATGAACAACAAGGGGAAGACACACATACTCCAAGCCTGGTGAGCAGGCCTGAAAAGCAGAGATGAGGCCCTAAGTGGCAGGATTGGGATTCCAACAAGTCCATGGCAAACCAAACTGTCTCTGGTCAGACATGGACCCAGTTCCTTGCCAAGAACACAGTGAGCATGACCACCCTCCCCCATCCTGCTCTGTACAAACCTGAGCTCAGGGCCGCTTGGCAACTGTCCACCATCCTTGCGCAGACCACCTCCATAGTGAGTGCTGGCTTGCGCTCAGACACAAAGACACCGCGCAACACCCGGGCTAGCTCTGGCAAGCGCTCTAACCGCTGCAGCCGAAGCTCCTGTTCCGGACACCGTGTCATCTGTGCCAGCTGTTTCTGGACCTCCTTGGCCCTTATCTGCATGAAGTGGGTCAGCAACAAATGGTTACCAAGGCCCGCTCTGGTCACCAAGGCCCCTACCCATTACCCAGGACTTACCCGCTCCAGCAAGGCCTGAGACACACCCTTCAGGGCACTGGGAGAGGCGGCTGGTGGGGTGGCTGGTGGAGTGGCTGGGAGTGCTGGACTAGAGGACCCAGGGCTACCAAGCTCAGCCGAGCGCAGGGCTAGGTTACTCAAGGCCCTCTCCATCTGCAGAGTAAGCACAGGTCAGATGTCACGAACAGTAACTTGTGAGGGGAAGCCCTCTGCTCTCTCCAGGCCAAGTTTCCAGCATATACACAGCCAGCTGAGCTGCTGCAGTGTGTGCGTATATGTGTCTGAGAGGGCCGGTGCACATCCTATTTCTGTGCCTTTAGCCGAGAAAGTAAGAAGGAACCCACCCAGAGGTACTCAGCTGTTACCTCCATACTCCCTGAAGGGATGAGATCAGAGGCTAGAGAGCCTCACCTTGGGTGACATCAAGTTGCGGGCTCGGGCCAACACCTCCTGGGCGGTGGTGAGCTTCTCTGTGACAGGAGGCTGGGGCAATTCGGCAGGTTCAATATCGGGCACTTCATCCACATTGAATCGCGGATGCCAGCGTGTCAGCTGGTCTTCAGGCACAGCCATGGGGGGGTTCAACGAGGCAAGGAAAGCCTGGGGGAAAGGAGAGCATTGGGCTACTCGATTCAGTCCCAGCTAGAAGCCCTTGCTCAGCCTTTCTGTGCCTCGGTACAGAGCCTGGTATAAAGAGGCGTGTTCACAGCACATAGACATTGTTTTGTTTTTTGTTTTTATTTTTCAAGACAGGGTTTCTCTGTAGCTTTGGAGCCTGTCCTGGAACTAGCTCTTATAGACCAGGCTGGCCTTGAACTCAAGAGATCCACCTGCCTCTGCCTCCCGAGTGCTGGGATTAAAGGGGCGCGCCACCACCGCCTGGCTAGGCATTGTTGACAATGACACTAGATCCCTCTCAGGGTCTCAAGGTAATCTGAGCTCTCCAGCTTTTGGGTTCCAAGCAGCTCTGCCCCAACTCCAGCCTATAGTGCAGAAGGTTATCAGCAATAAAATCAACCCTCCTTACATTTTAAGATAGCCACAGCCACAGCAAGGGATTAAGAGAAACCTTTGTATTTGCAGTCAAGACAGTCACTGAAGGGGGAGCAGGGCACTTATGGCCATGTCCTCTTACAGCAGGGACTGAGCACGCTCAATGGTTCCACAAACTCCAGCGCCCACCTTGTGATGCTCCTTGACTCGTTCCACCAGGTTCTGACGGAAGACCTGTCTGCGCTGCAAGAGGCATGTGGCTGTGAGCTGGGTGGCACCACCACCCTCTGCAAGAAGAAAACATGGTGAGCCCAGGCCTGTCCAACCGCCCACCTGATACCAACCATTTCACCCCCAAGTCCAAGGTGAGCGAGCACACCCCGGGCCTCGCCAAAGACTCACCCTGTCCCAGCAAGGGTTCGATGGTGAGTTGGTAATCAGATCTCTTGATGTTGTCCTTGAAAGTGGGGACATTGCATTCCTGGCGAAAGCAATACGATGTGGGGTACACGGTTTTGATCTGGCCCACATTGCGCTCTTCGAAGCGCCTGCAGAAGAAAGAAGGCTGGGTCAGAAGGATCAAGCAGACTGGCATCAGACTTTGAGGGCAACCAAACCCCGTCTCCACACCACGCACTTGCGCATCATGTCCTGGACACCTTGTTTGACTTTAGCAAAGGTCACGGTCTCAGACCGATTGTGAAGCATGCTCACGATGGTATCCATGCTCCGGAACATCTCGGCCAACACTTGATACTTGTAGGGCAGGACAAGGCCAGGGGGGCCGGGCTGGGCCAGGGCATGGAAGCGCTGGTAGGCAGGGACTTTCTCGACACTGTAAATGGGAAGCAGTCTCGTTATGCCAACAAACCACACAATGTGACCCCCACCCCCACCACCAGACAACGAGATAGCAGAGCCAGAACCTCAGAACTCCCTATTTGCAAAGTCCTTGAGGATCTACTGCCGTCTGTGAGGACAGCGTCTGAAGGGGACAAGCAGCAGCCTGCTCCCCACACCAGCTCTGCCCAGCACACTCAGCTTGGAGAGACAGGCACAGCATCCACACTGCCCACAGTACTTAGAACGAGCCAGAGGCAGGAGTGACCATGTCCTTTTCAGGTGGGGGACAAGGACATAATGCCGGTGAAGAGTAGACTGGTGTATCTATGTCTAGACAATCTGGCTCTCAGCCCTGTAGGCACACTAATTGCCTCCCTGCAAGTCATGGCACCCAGGTTACCCACCTCGGTCCTACAGTGCCCCCCCCAACAGCCTGTCCTCCCCTGGACCTTGTGGCCCCCTAGGACTCACCATGGTTGCTCTGTGGGCTCCTTGGCATCTGATGTACAAGACTCCACAGCATTCTCCTGGACTCTGGCCCTCAGGGCCCGAGCCTGGGCCCCCAACTTACGTGCCCGCCTCAGGCAGGACTGGAGCTCAGAGAGAGAGTCCTTTGAGGGGACCTAGGGACACAGGCGCTGTTAGTTCTACCAGTTATTCATCATAGCCCTGCCCACAGCCCACCCTCAGCGCAGCCTCCTTACCTTGTCCTGCTGCTGAACTGTGGCAGAAAGGCCTGGAGCTTCTGAAACCGCGGTGCTCTTTATTCTCTTGACGGGAGATGGGTTTACTGGGGAGTCAGGGTCAGCTGGAGAGCTGGGGTCAGCTGGGGAACTGGGGCAGGAGTCCTGGTAATTAAGAAGCCACAGATTATTACACTGGAGTGGGGTTACCTGCTCAGCAGGAAGAGCACTGGCCTGAAGAACCAGGTCATCTCAGTTCACCAGACCCTGAGGGCTGGAGCCAGGCTGGGGGGGGAGGGGGGTGTCTGTCATCTGAGGCGTCTGATGACACAGGCAAGATCCACTTGGTCTGTTGGACCTCTTCTTCCTTGAAGCAACTTCGAGGCCTGGCTCTCTTGTGTTTTCTCTCCATTTCATTAGCTCCAGACCAATTCTTTGCGGAACACCCCCCCATCCCCCTGCCTGCTGCAATCTCCCAGCAAACCCAGGTCTGGTTCCCCTGGGGAGAGAAAGGAGTCCCCAGCATGCAAAGAGACTCTAATCCTCCTTCAGTCTTAGTTAGCATCCAGTCCCCTGCCTCAGTGCCCGATAGTCAGGGTTTTCTCTCCTAACCAGGGGTCCTCTGGGGTCCCACGCACGTCTCACCAGTCCAGGAAGCCGCAGCCTACGGCGCGCGGGCGGCGCGGGGTGGTCGCTCCCGGATTCAGTGGAGGGACGGGCGCGCTTGCGGCTGCTGCTCCGGGTCAACTCGGTGGGCACAAGACCACTGGGGCTCGGGGTGAGACAGGCCGACTTGGCCCGCGGAGCGGTAAGGCCCGGGCGACGGCGAGCATAGAAATCGGTAACACGACTTTGCGCCATGGCGCCAAAATGCTAGTTCCCGCGGATTTCGCGCGGTTTTCGCGGCTTCTGCCTTGCCCCGCCCAGACGCGCGCATACTCCAGAGCATGCGCGCTAGGATATACCAAGACGCGCATGCGTCACGCCGGGCCACCTCCGGGACGCTGTTTGGGTTGAGTTAGGGCGCAATTAGGAGCGGCCCCAGGCTGGTGGACAGGAATGGGTTGGACTCTTGACCAGTGGCGGGCTGACGTACGGCGTGGCACATGCGCTGTCCGTCATTTACGCGCGCTAGCCTGGCTGTGGCGCGTACGGCTCTCACATCCACGTCGCGCGCAGCTCAAAGTGGGGCGGCTGCGAGCCAATGGCTCCTGGCCCGGCAAACAGGCTGTTGGATGAAAGAGGACGCTTCTGCTCCTGTTGATCACATTTGCAGAATAATAGTCTGGTCTCGCGTGCCAGCAGCGTAGCTGGACCTGAGTCACAAGCAACTGCTGAATACTTGGTTCCAGGCGCGCGATGAGTCTACCCAAGACGGCCCACGCAGCCGAGCAGGCTCCAAAAGCCTTTCTCTTGCCACATCCGGGCTATGGAGTGCAGAGGTCGGCTCTGGGAGGGGCTCCAGGGCAGGAAGCGGCCTAGAGGCGTGGGAAATCAGGAAGGCCACGCAGAAAAGACTGATTTCTTCAGTCACTGTCACTCAATGCTCCCCACACTCCTGGAGGAGCAAAGGTGGTTCCCTAGAAGGAGGGAGGACATAAAGAAAAGGACAGAGCAGAAGCAGGACCTGGGAGACCTTGGAGAGCTGTAAGGACATTGCACTGAAGGACAATTCCCAGGAGGCGGGGGCTTGTGCAGTCCAGAGCATCAGTCTAAAATGTATCTGCAGCCGTGGGATGAAGGACCTGGAGTAGTGAAGTTTTTGAGACTCGATGCTCACACCTCGTGAGTGTGGTATACCTTGGAGCCTCATAGCCAGCGTCCCTTCTGTATGTTTCTCAGCAGTCATAGTAACCACTCTGCATTTGTAAAGCCACCCCTGGAAAGTAGGCCTTTGGGATGACACAGCATTGGAGCCCCTCAGGAAATCTTGACTTGCCTCAGTGACAGGACAAAGCCAGCTGCCTCCTGGCCTCGGCTGATTAGATAAGTGACGCGTGGTTGAGCCAATCAGGTGTTCTCCTAGGATTAGCGCTGCTCTAGGGTAGAACCGCCTACCCTCCTGTGTGCCGGTGGCCTCTCTTACCGTTCTGTAGGGCATGCTGAGAACCAGCAAACAAGTACCTCCACAGGAAGCGCCAGGCACAGCAACTCCAGCTCGGGGTTTTGAAGCAGTTTCCCTGTTTTGTTTTTGCAGTGATGAGGAAGGAAACCCAAGGCGTTATACGTACAAGACAACAGCACGCTACCCTCCGAACGGTGTCTTTGTCCATGAGGGATTTTTTTCTCTTTCTTCCTTTCTTTTTTTTCTTTCTGTTTTTGATTTTTCAAGATAGGGTTTCTGTGTGTAATAGCCCTGGCTGTCCTAGAACTCACTCTGTAGACCAGGCTGGCCTTGAACTCACTGAGATCTGCCTACTTCACACTCCTGCCACGCCCTTCCCACAATTGTGAACATTCAGGCTGGACCTTCAAACTGGGAGGCAAAACAAATCCTTAAGTTACTTTTATCAGGTACTTTGTCAAGGCCTCTTCCACTCCGTGGAGGCTTAATTAAAACATGTTCACAAAAATCAGTCAAAATCCCGAGCAGAGGCAGGCAGATCTCTGTGAGTTCAAGGCCAACCTGGTCTATAAAGTGAGTTCCAAGACAGCCAGGGCTGTTACACAGAAAAACTCAAAAAAGAAAAGAAAAAAAAAATCAAAGTTGGGTATGATGGGAAGCAGAAGCTGGTGGATCTTTATGAGTTTGAGGCCAGTCTGGTCTAAATATTGGGTTCCGTGTCAGCCAAAGCTACATAGACTTTTTTTTTTGGAGACATTGTCTCTGTGTAACCCTGGCTGTCCAAGAGACCCATGAGGCTTGATTAAAGCCCCTTGAAAAGGAAGGAGTTTGTTTTTTTTATCCATGGTTTGATGGCAGGAAAAGCTTGGCTTCAGGAACAAGAGGCATCTGGGTGCAGCGAACCCCAGTCAAGAGAGACCAATGCTCAGCTTCCTTTCCTTGCTCAGGACGGTCTTCCCTCCTCAGTGAAGCCGTTATGGAACCATCCTCAGAGGCGCACCCAAAGAGCTGTGTCCTTGGTGATTCTAATTCCTGTTAAGTTGCTTTGTTGGATATTTTGTGGCGACAATGGAAAAATAACCATCACCACCACTTTCACCATTGTCATCAAGACCATCATCACTCTTGTCACTGCCTGAGGCTGGTTAGAGTTGCCAAGGGGCCTCAGTATTGGTGACCATGGTGTTCTGGCCTTGCCTACCTTCCCTGGAACCCACTGTAGCTCCCTGAGACCTGCTCCCTGCCAAGATGCAACCTCAATACAGGCACAGGCTGAATGGTTGCAGGCTCTGCTCTTCTGCTGCATTCCGGAGTCATCTGTAAGAAACAATGACCAAGGGGCTGGAGAGACCGCTCAGCGGTTAAGAGCATTGCCTGCTCTTCCAAAGGTCCTGAGTTCAATTCCCAGCAACCACATGGTGGCTCACAACCATCTGTAATGAGGTTTGGTGCCCTCTTCTGGCCTTCAGGCATACACACAGACAGAATATTGTATACATAATAAAATAAATAAATATATATTTTTTAAAAAAAGAAACAATGATCAAGCGCAGCCATGCTGCAGCATTTCCCCGGCTCCGTATTCCTGTAATGCAAGAGAATGGCTGCTGTTCAGGTGTGCTGCACAGACAGCCCTGCTTCCTGTTGCTGGGATGGCTCAGAGCGCTTCTCTACATCATACCGACATGCACACTCCTCCCGTTTCCTCTCTGTCTACTGCTCTCCTCACAGGAAACCGTAGCTGATGCTGAGACAACGTGGAACCCCCTGGAGATCTGCTGAAGGTCTGTGAGGTCACCTGCAGCCACCGAGGAGCTTCTTGTGGTCTTGGCTTTTACCTCGAGGTTTGTGGCCAAGCATAGAGAGGCAGCTTTCACCTTCAATGAAGGCATCTGGGGCTTAGCCAGGATCGATCTGTGCTCGACTCCCTGTCTGCCAAACAACCTTGGAATCCATTGTGGATGGACTAGAGCAGGGTTCATGGAGAAGATGCTACTGCCTGCCACAGGTTGCGTGACACTAGCAGTTTATTCTCCCTCTGAAACTCAGCCTTCAGGACCGGAGAGATGGCTCAGCGTTTAAGAGCACTGGCTGTTCTTCCAGAGGTCCTGAGTTCAATTCCTAGGAAACACATTGTGCCTCACAACCATCGGTAATGGGATCTGATTCCCTCTGCTGGTGTGTTCGAAAACAAGACAGGTCACTCATACATAAAATAAATATTAAAAAAATAATAATAAACACTTGATCTCCTTGTCAGTACCAGGGTGCCTTGTCTTGCGGAACTGGAACCTGTTTCACAGCACAGTTGCTGCAAGAGCCCCGGGAGGATGAATTGAGAGCCTCATTTTATCTCAGTGATAAATCTCCTCACACTGGTTTCCAAAAGCACCAGATGGGGAGAGGGCTAGTCCTGCCTTTAGCCCTCTGAGCTTCTTTCTTGCTGCAGTGACCAAATGCCTTACAAAAGCATCTTAAGAGAGGAAGGATTTATCCAGCTCACAACTTCAGATTTCAGTCTATCCTGACACAGTGGGACCCCGAGAGGGAGCTGGTCACATTACATCCAAAGTCAAGCACAGAGAGCAAAGAATTAATGTATCCTAGTGCTCAGCCTGCTTCCTCTTCTTACACAGCCTATGAGCCCCTGCCGAGGGAATGGTGTTACCGGTAGTGGGTGGGTCTTCCAATGAACTTCAATTAATGTAACCAAGATTGCTCTTCATAGGCATGCCTAGCGGCCTGCCTCTCAGGTAGTTCTGCATTCTGTTAAGCTGACAAGTAACCATTGCCCTTCTTGTGTGGGCATCTAACTTTGCTCTGTTCAATAGAAATGCAATATGAGCGGTGTGGTTCCAAATTTTCTACTAGTACATTACAAAAAGTAAGAATCAGGTGGCAGTAATAGTGTCAAAGTTTTTGTTTTCGTATGAGTCTTTTGCCTGCTTGTATGTCTGTGTACCACATTTGTGCATTGCCAGGGGAAGCAGAAGACGTTGGATCCCTGGTACTGTAATTACAGATGGTGGTTGTGAGCTGTTGTTTGGGTGCTGGAAATCAAAACTGGGTTCCCTGAAAGAGCAACCAGTATTCACTGGGCCATCTCTGTAGCACCAGGTTGCAATACTTGTAAGAGCCTAGTGGTGGTGGTGGTGCACACCTTTAGTCCCAGCAGAGGCTAATGAACATTTGAGGTTGAGGCCAGCCTGGTCTACCGAGTGGTTCTAGGACAGCCAGGCCTACCCAGAGAAACCCTGTCTCAAAAAAATAAAACATAAACAGTATTTATAATAATTAAGTTGTATCAGTTATGCCAAAATGTCTCTCAAAATAAATAAATAATTTATTATTTTATTTGTTTGAGACATGGTCTCTCTTCATAGGCCTGGCTGTCCTGGAACTCACTGTGTAGACCAAGTTGGCCTTGAACTCACACAGATTGACCTGCCTCGGCATCTGCCTCCAGAATGCTGGGATTAAGGGTGTACACCATCACTTTCAGTTTATTTATGTTTTCAAGAAAGGGTCTCACTATGTAGCTTTTGCTGTCCTGGAACTCACTATGTAGTCCAGGCTGGCCTCAAACTCACAAGAGATCTGCATACTTCTGGCATCCAAGTGCTAAGATTTAAGGCATGCACCACTCACTACACCTAGATAATAGAATTTTTTTTTTAGTGAGACATTTAACATTTTCCTTTATTGCCGGGTGGTGGTGGCGCACGCCTTTAATCCCAACACTTGAGAGGCAGAGGCAGACAGATCTCTGTGAGTTCGAGGCCAGCCTGGTCTACAAGAGCTAGTTCCAGGACAGGCTCCAAAAGCTACAGAGAAACCCTGGCTCGAAAAAAAAATTTTCCTTTATTATTGTCTGCCAAAATCATCTTGATCATCATCACCCTCACCGCCATTACCATCCTCATCATCAGCATCACCATCGTCACCATCATCAGGATTTCCTGATTGTGCTTATAGCTCCATCTCTATTGGTTGAACAACCTCAGATAGGATGCTGCACTCTCAGCAGTCGACTCCTCTGTTGTACCCTGTCTTTAAAACAGAGCTGCAAAGCTTGGTGGAAGTAGGGCATGATGAGAAGCCTAGCCTCTGTCAGCAGGAAATGACTTATGGGTGTCAGCCTAGATAGCAACCCACCCTGACCACAGTGGAGCTGTACAAGCTCCATGGACACAGCTTCCCCACTAGCTGCACTGTCGGCTAACAGAACCAACTATGCCACAGGGCCCTGAGTCTACAGCCTGGTCAATTTGGTGGAAGGTCACATAGTTATGGACTTGGTGCAACAATTGAATTTTGGGGCTCTGGGTGCAGCTGCCCTGCTTTAGGACCACTGGTCAACTGGACTAAGGTACCCACTGTCTCTCATCTATTTGCTACCCACCACTGCCTTCTGATGACCATATTCTTAGCCCTCCTTCTTGGTGAAGGGTCTTTGAATTACTTATAAGAACTCAAGAGAAACTGCCTGGAACTGTCTGAATAACTCAATAAAGCTCTGGCTTTGAGTTCCTCCGATATTCCCCCAAACAACAGAGCTTCTAGGAGGAAGCCAGGGCCTGAGTGTGGTAAGACAAACAGGTTCATTATGAGGTCTTTTCCCCTGCACCCTTTCCAACAGACACTTCTGGGTGTCTGTTGCTTTGCGGCTCCTCTACCCAAGCCTTCATTGTCCCTGGAGGAAGAGCAGAAGCTCCCAGAGGCCTGGAAGACCTCACAGAGCATCTCCCTACAGGACCACTTTAAGTGCCCCAGCAAGTCTAAATGGCCAGCTTCCTCTGGGAAGCTGTTTAAGATCTATTACATTATGGGAAACTCCCATGGATCCCCTGGCTCCTAGAACATTCCAGATCATACAAGGCGCTTAGTTTCCTGTTTCTGGCAGGGAGTCTGCATGGGTCTGGGAGCTGAAGGGAAGCTAATGTAGTTATCTGGAAAAGCCCACAACATTTGTATCACAGGTGGATGGCATTTCAGATAAGGATGCTGAGGCAGAAGGATTACCTCAAGTTTGAACTACGGTGTGAGACTCTTAACTCAAAAACCAAAAAACAACAACAACAAAAAAAGGGACTGGAGAGATGGCTCAGAGGTTAAGATCACTGACGGTTCTTCCAGAGGTCCTGGGTTTGATTCCCATTAACCACATGGTGGCTCACAACCATCTATGAGATCTGGTGCCCTCTTCTGTCATGCAGGGATACAAGAAGGCAGAGCACTGTATACATACATAATAAATAAATAAATAAATAAATAAATAAATAAATAAATAAATCCTTAAAACAAAAAAAGGGTGGGGGGCCAGGCATTGGTGGTATATGCCTTTAATCCCAGCACTCGGAAGGCAGAGGTTTGTGAATCTCTGAGTTCAAGGCCAACCTCGTCTACAGAGCAAGTTCTAAGACAGTCAGGACTGCATAGAAAAACCCTGTCTCAAAAAATAAAACAAAACCCCAAAACAAACCCGAGGTCAGATGTAGCATGTACAGGGCCTGCATGTGAAACTCAACCCCTTAGAAAACGTGCTCCCTGATTCCTCACTAGGCCACTGTAAGCCTGTGTAGGCTTCCTCTTGGGCAGTGCTGAAGAACAGAACCCACCCACCGTTAGGAACGGTGACAAATATGATGTGCCAAGGTGACAGGCGAGGAGACCTGGGGAAAGGAGAACAGTATCTTGGCTGGGGCCCTTGAGCTTTGAAGATGCGTAGCTGGACTGTGACCTTTAGTAGCCTTCAAAGAAGTCCTGTCTGTGGTAAGAAGAGACAGACACACTACAGGGAAAGAGGAAGGTCCCAGGCCCTGGGAGGGAAATAAACAGGCAGATGGCAGAAGGTAGAAGTCATGGTGCCACCCTGAGAACACAGTCCAGTCTTCCAGCAGTCCATCCCCGACCTGGAATCTAGGAGGGAATTCTCAGCATTCCTGCACCAAGCCGTGCCTGAGAGATTGCTGAGAGGGTGTCTACGTTTCCCCTTGACTTGGTCCAGCCCTCGGATGTGCTCCCTGCACAAGGAGGTGATGGAGTCTGCCGGGGACTTGATCTCTCAGTGACCTGTCTAAAGGGCCAGCACAGGGCTGTGGCAATGGGCGTTCCCTGAGCCGGTCTTTCTTCAGCAGGGAAACCTTCACAGCCAGCAGCAGTGAGGCATACCGGCTGTTGGCAGAGGTGCTGACAGAGGCACTGGGCCTGCTGACTGACAGCCCTGTTTTTCCCGACAGTAACGAACACAACACACCATAATTAAAGACCAGCCCAGAGAAAGGGCTCACAGAACCCAGAGGTGAGGGAGGTCCTGAGGGAGAGTGGCAGGCCACAGAGTGAGCGTTGAGCCTGCAGGGACCCTGGCTTGACATCTGTTTTTCCCTTTCTCAGCAACTGCTGTGGTAGGTGAATGATACAAGTGAGGCCATGGCTGCTCCTAGGTATGGTTGAGGAGAGGGTTTGTTGCAGATGTGGGGGCGAGAACAGCCGGAGGCGTCTGGAAGGGTCCAGACTGAACCAGGACAGCAGACCAACTGACCTGTGCCATTGGAGGAGATGGGGTGGGGCAGGAGGGAGACAAGGGTAGAGGTGAGAAGTGCTGAGAGAAGCCATGGGTAGGTACTAAGAGAGACTTGTCCCGGTTGTCCCGGGACTGTGTCAGGGACAGGACAGTGCACATGCACACCAATGGAAGCCAGGGATACACACGTGGCAGACAAACACTCTCCCACTGAGCTACACCCAAGCCAAGGGTTGGGGACTTTTCACCTGGAACACAAGGGAAGGAGGCAGAGCTGGAGTTAATCCAGCAAGGATTCTGCTGAGGCAGGTCCTTCAGGAAATAGTGTGAGAGGCAAGGAGGACCAAGCAGGACAGATAGGGCCCTAGAGGATGGTCTTGGCTGGGCTATCTCCATGAAGCTGGGCACTCAGTTACACTCAAGGGTACCCTAAGGATCTGGCCACACCTCAGGATGTGGATATTTAGCCACAGTTGTCAAAGGGCAGCTATGCCCCATTGGAAGTGGACCTATGTGGGTACAAGTGTGTTCCAGCCACCTATTCTCCCTGCCAACAAAGAACTATAGCAGAAAGTAGGTATAGGAGGGTCATGATTAAGGTTGGGGTTGGTATGGACTCATTATTGTCTATGGGTACAAGGTGTGCAACTTGCTGGTTGGGGTCGGTGGTTAGCATTTGCCGAGGTGTCAAAGGCCCTGACCTTGTGATTCTCTTTGTTGGCCCTGGGCATACCAA